AAAGTAATGAACTCTATTGTCCATAAAAATCAAACGTGCGGCGTTGTCGGTCGCACGATCTTTTCGAATTTGTCCTTGCTTCGCGATACCCTTGACATGATTGACAAAACAAATGAACCGGGCACCCTTATTTCGCTAGATCGGGAAAAAGCTTTTGATCGCGTAGACCACGAGTTTATATGCGTGTCCTGCGAAAGTTAGGCTTTGGCCGTTCCTTTTGCGGCTGGGTCGAGCTATTTTATTCTAAAGCTTTTTCTCGAATTACTGTCAATGGCTCCCTGTCGCACCCTATCTTACTTCAGAGGGGTGTTAGACGGGGTTGCCCACTCTCGCCCCTACTTTATGTCTTAGCGTCTGAGGTTTTTGTAGACTCAAATTCGTAGATGTAAAGATATTGAAGGCTTCCTGCTCCCCGGAGCCGGGGCCCTTCAATATAAAATTTCGCAATATGCGGAAGATGCTACTTGCATTTTAAAATCAGAAAGATCTCTCTCCCTCCCTCTTTGTTGCAGTTCGTAAATTCGAAGAAGGGTCAGGCGCCAAATTGAATACCTCCGAGTCTGAAGCAATGTGGCTTGGAAAGTTGCGAACAAGGAGAGATTCCCCCTTCGGCCTCAAATGGGTCAACAAGATGAGAGTCTTGAATGGTGAAACTGAATAAAACTGCCTGGTTTTCCAGGCCTTTACATTCTTTTTTTTTAAAATAAGAAATTCGACCTTCGCTGTTTTTTCGTCGAGGGCATAACATTTTAGTTAAAAAATATTTATTGTGCTATAGAGATGCATAATACACTAAAAAATAAACCAAGAAATAAAAAATAAATGGTCATCAAAAAATGTCATCACAATAGGACGAGTGATGAGGTACAATGGGTCTCTTAGTTTTGAAACCGCTGAGTGTTCCATTTCAGTATTGAAGACGAAGGAAGTGGAGAAGAAAAAGTTTAGCCCGAGCGGCCTAGGTAGGGACAATGAACAAAAATTCAATATCAACCTACATTCCTAAAAATACTTTAAAATGTTTATTCACAGTTAACTTTATCACCGCAAAGATTAAAGATATTAACTGTTCTAAGTGAAATAGTCCTATAGGTATTTACATCGGTATATTTAAACAATAGAGTGTTTCTGTCGAGGAACTATCGGCTGATAGTTGCCCCACGGAAATTTGATGTTCTTGAAACATTTATTTACTCACCGAAGGGCACTATGGGCTCATAGCGTCTCTTCACGGATTAACACTATCACGTCCCGTTATCAATTTAAACCAATAAGAATCGGAGAAAATTTAGTGGTGAACTCTAAAGGCGTATTGCTTGACAAAGTTTGACTATGTACTTATAATCAAGAGATTATTACACGATAAGTTGATGGACAGTTCATGAATAAAAAATTACATAACTTATCCAGCCAGAAATGCAGGTCATTTTAATTGTGCTTTTTCTCTTTATAGAGTAATCCACGCTTAATTGTAAATGATATTTTTCGCTGTTCATAATGGGGTCCACGTTTGGACTGTCAGAAATTGCAAAGCCGACTGTCTTTCAAGTCGTCTTGCGGGGTATTGGAAAAAGTTTTCAGCAATAACGGCGCCTCGGATGAACCCCACAGGCTACAGTAATGCCACTGCGCAAAGCTAACTATTCACAAGGAGATAAACAGGATTTGTCAGGTTTTCAGTGGTCTTCCATATGGTCATGAGTGGATACAATTTACTTCGCATTATGGTGCGCATGTTCACCTCTTCTGTTATTGGCTAATGACGGCCGTACTCGGTGCATTACGACCCTCACTGTTTTTTCATTGAGGGCATGACAATTTAGGTAAAAAATATTTAATGTGCTATAGAGATGCGTAACACACTAAAAATAAATCAAGAAATAAAAAACAAATGGTCATTAAAAAATGTCATCACAATAGGACGAGTTAATGAGGTACAATGGGTCAATTAGATTTGAAACTGTTGAGTGTTCCGTTTCAGTATTGAAGACGGAGGAGTGGAGAAGAAAAAGTTTAGCCCGAGTGGCTCAGTAAGGGACGATTAACAAGAATTCAATATCAACCGACATTACGAAAAATACTTTAAAATATTTATTCACAATTAACTCTATTCGCTGCATAGAAAAGAAGTAACTGTTCTTAGGGAAATAGTCCTATAGGTATATATATAGGTATATTTAAACAATAGAGTGTTTCTGTCGAGGAGCTATCAGCTGATAGTTGCCCCTTGGAAATTTGATGTTCTTAAAACAAATATTTGCCCGAGAGGCGAAGCTTCCAGGACAAATCAAAGTTCCAAGGGGCAACTGTCAGACCGATAGTTCCGAGACATAAACACTCTATTGTCTTTATTGTTCACCACTAAATTTTCTTCCGCGCGCGGGTTGAAAAACAGTCAAAATCCACTAACGGCAGATCTATCAAATATTTATTCATGTGTACAGCCTGTCACAAATGTCAATAATTCGCAACCGTGCATTGGCTAAATAATGCGTTATACCTATCAGAATTGAAAAGTCACTGTTTTTCCGATCTGCCTAACTTCGCGGCTTTCAATCCATTCAAAATTTTTCGCGGATGAGTACTATCCATCCGGGTATTTTCTGCGGACGGGCACTGTGGGCTGATAGTCTCTCCACGGATCAACACTATCGCGTCACGTGATCAATTTAAACCAATAAGAATCGGAGAAATTTAGTGGTGAACTATAAAGGCGTATAGCTTGACAAAATTTGACCATGTATTTAAAATCAAGAGATTATTACACGATAATCGAGTCGATGGACGGTTCATGAATAAATAATTACATGACATATCCAACCTCAAATGCTAGTCATTTTAGCTGCGCCTTTTTTTTTCTATTATAAACCTCTCTGATAAATAAAGAATTACTATGGGACCTTTGAAAGTTTACGCATTGAACAGCGGAGAGTCCGCTTTGGGAGGAAAATGAAAGTCACCGGCTGTTAGATGGGGTAATCCACACTTAATTGTATAAACGATATTTTTCGTTGTTTATGTTGGGGTCCATGTATGGACCGTCAGAAATTGCAAAGCCGACTATCTTTCAAATCGTCTTGCGGGGTATTGGGTAAAGTTTTCAATCAGCAATAACCGCGCTTCGGATAAACCTCACTAGCTACGGTAATGCCACTGGGCAAAGCTAATTATTTAACGAGCGGAAATAACCTTTGTCAGATATTCGGTGGTCTTCCATATGGTCATAAGTGACTACAATTTACTTCGCATGCATTATGGTGCGCATGCTAAACTTGCATCAGTGTCCTTGTTATTCTGTTCTGAAACTCAGGATCATAAAATAAAATCCTCGATTTCTTGTTAAAAGTCCATCAGCCAGATCAAGCACCTAAGCAACCCAACGTTTCGTATCCAATCTACTCGATTTTGCTCGGTTTCTGTCGTTTCCCGGCGCAATTGATTTTAACACGTCACACGTCACGTGAATGTGTTTCAACTAAAACTAGGGAATAGCAAATATTTATAGAACTCGGCTCCTGAACTGTGGAACAATCTACCTGATGACATTCGTTCTTGTGACAATTTAAATCTCTTTAAATGTAAACTTAAGACCTATCTTTTTAAAAATTATTTTAATATGTATGAATTCTCTTCTTATCCATGTCTAGCGCCTAGATCTTAGACACCCGTTTTTTGTGAATATTTAAATCTCCGTTAACGTAAACTTAAGACTTACTTTTAAAAATTATCTCAATATGTATATTTCTATTTTGTAAAGCGCTTAGATCAGGTCTGGATAAGCGCTATATAAGTAGTTCTATTATTATTATTATTATTATTATTATTATTATAGAAATCTGTCAGCGTTCTACCAATAATGCTTCGATCTGATTGGTTACGTTACTCGCTTTCTTTTCTATGATAGACAGTGAATAAAGTTTGTAGCTTAACGGGATGTGGTAATAAAAAAGATAAACAAAGAAAAATTAATTGAGTTCGTCTCGCTAAATAACCAGTAGCCTTATATCATAACCACTAGATCATTCCTTCTCGATTTCCAGACTTTGCGTGATGGATGATGTAGTTTGTAATCTCACTTTCGAAATACTCCAATGCAGCGAAAGTCATGGAATTAATTTGAGAGAGCGTTTCGTGATTGTTGTAGGAGTCGAAAGTTACTTTTCGGTTCAGAAAGTCGCTCTGATAAATTAACGGTTCTTTCGATCAGCATGCTCTAATTTTGGTACTTTCGTCCTTGAACACTATCTGCACGCTCCACGAACCTAAAAACTGTCCGCCTCACGGAACAGGGAAGTGCGCGCATAGAAACACACGAGCTTATTTTCGCGCCAAATGGATGCCATTGTTTATTGCGACCCACGGCACAATAAGTCTGCGCATGTACATCCTAATTCCACCAATCAGTTGAAACGGAAGTTCGTTCATTTCCGTAAAAATTTCAATAATCATTAACTTTTTTTGTTAGGATATCATATATTCAGGTTTCGCCAGTGAAGACTTTTTAGTAAAACAATTTTCAATTTCAAAATCAATGCGATGCATCTTGCACTTTACAGACCTGACTCAATTAAAATCATAAAAGTTTATGATTGATTTTTATCGTCTGCTCAATTTTGAAAAAAGAAACCGAGGACACAACCATAGGAAATACAAGAAAAACTGTATACAATGGTTTAATAAAGTCGGCAAACATTTTGCCGAAGAAAGTAAGGTCGTTTGCCAAGGATGGGCTTTGCAAACCCGAAATATTGGTAACCACCCTAAATTAGCAAGTTGCACAGAATAATCATTATAACTGGAATCAGCTTTGTTTTCAGATGTCGAGTCAGACGACGCATTTATCACCTCACTTTACGAGTAAATGCCAACGTAAACCTCCTCTTGACTCAGCTGAGATTTGATTAATTTAGTTTGCCCGAACGCAGATACAACAGGATACCAAACTATACAGAGGCGAAATCGGCACCCTGAAACGTATTCACAATAAGAGAGGTCAGAGCTTGTTTATCTTCAAAAACACAGCCGAAATTTTTTATTCTTTTATTTACAATCTGTGTTAATTACTCCACCAGTCTCGTTCCTTTTTTTAAACTCTTACCTCTTAGGTGTCTTTTTAGGCTTTTATAGGGAAGTTTCATTGACTTGCACTACTTTTGCATAGCTGCTTTTAGAGCGCCGGATTTAAAACTGCAGTAGAAAGGAAATTATAGATGCCATTTATTGTGTGTTCGCGTGAGCTGCTTGGAATAAAGCACACTTCGAGTGAGTGTCGTAATACATCACCAAAGATATCACAACAATCAATCAGGAAGAAAAATATCACGAGCCAATAAGAATTCAGAGAAAAAAAAGAAAACTGGCTAAAGCGCGGGAAAACGCGAGTAAACGAGCCTGCGACTGGTTTTAGTCTTGAATCTGATTGGTTGAGAGAGTGGGCGAGTTTTCTGGACCAATCAAAAAGTAAAGTAATGCAAAACACAAGACACTCACTTTAAATTTGCTCTATCATTGTTTGAGGATAAAAAATAAACTATTACCGAACAAAGCAGGGTGAGGCGCCGTCAAAATGCAGATTGAATCAACAATTTGTTTTCATCGCGTTTTCCCGACGAAAGCCAAGTCAATAGATTCAACTCAGTCAATTAAGTTCTTGCGATCTATTCTTGTTGCGACTTGAACTTAATGCTGTGACTGGCAACGTATTCATAAGCTTCTCCGCTTATTTGAACCGTGTTCGCTAGTTTACATGTCTTAATTGCATTGTGCTGGAAATTCTTGAGGATCAGGTGTTGGTCTCTTCTCGTTCGTGGAGAACACTTGTAATCTTGTTCATATTATGGTCTATCGCCTTGGTTAGAAAGTCGAGCCAAGAAGAGTCTGACTCCAGCGTAAAGTGACAATCCCTGAACAAAAATAATAAAGGAGTGTAAAGTCAGCGAAAGAAGCTGTATCGATTCTTGCTCATGTTGAATACGTCGTTTTTTCCAAGTAATACAGAAACATTGTAATCCAGCAAAAAAAAATTTTTCTTCTCAACGGCTCTAGCAAGGCCAATTAACAAACGGTGATTTTTCGATTACTAGCCTACTACCTTGTAGCTCCAAAAAGTTGGAATATGAAGTGTAACGTGCTTAGATTTATGAGTAGGGTGTTCAGAGGTTTCGCCACGTTATGAACTGCTAAAGGGTGGGACTTGTCGTCATTGACGGGGCACACTGGTCGTGATAAGGAGGGGGGGAGAGAGCTCGCAGTGGGGCGGAACCACCATACAACGGGAGTGGCTAGCCTCCTTACATGGCAAAGAAGGACTGCAAGTAGTAGTCTAACTTATCCTTAACGACAAAGTACATGCGCAGTTGTAGAGCATGAATGGTTTTTAGCTTGCGGTGAAAGAATAGGTGGGAATGACTTTTAAACAAAAATATCTAAAATTGTGTACACGTTGCCTTTACCTTGCTTTGTTCAGTATCTCCTTTAACTGGTGAGTCAGCTTGGAGGCCTGTAAGTCATTTCAGAATAGCAAGACCATGCATTAGTGCGTAATCTACAAACCAAACAACTACGAAACTGGACAAAACAGAAAGTCGAAATAGTACCTAAACATTGACTTACTGATTCAGAAACACTCTGATGATTCATGGGACAGTAAAGGCTCATGACCACATCGTCAACACTGACACAAAGAGAAAACAAAAACTTTAATTTTACCATTTAGAGCAATTTTCAATTGAGTTTCACAAGTAATCTGGGAATGTATCGTCTTTGCTTTACTTTGTGATTGGTCCAGAAAACTCGCACCACTTTCTAAACCAATCAGATGCAAAACTGAAACCAATCACAACTTAGTCGCCCGCGTTTTCCAGCATTTTCCCGCGCTTTGCTTGTTTTTACTTTGAGTCCTCATTGGCTCTTTAAGTTATTTTCGTTTCTTCTGATTGCTCGTTGTGACTACCTTGGTTTTGATTTTACGTCACTCTCTTTAATCCCCAATAATAATTAGTAATTCTTTCCTATAGCTATATATTTCTTTGTAAACTAGTCTGGAGATTAGGGTGTCGCATCAAGCCAACAAGTTTATCAGGTCTGATTTTCGCTATTGCATAAATAGCGCTCTCTACTGCGAGGATTGTGCATCATACGTAAGTTTATCTGATCTTGCAAGAGGTGGGTAAGTTTCTAATAGAAACTGTGGTGCTGCGTCTGCGGGGGTAACAAAGTAAATTGGTTTTATCACCTGAGTTGATAGTGTAAATTGGCCACCGTAAAGAGTTTCAAAGTTGACGTTTCGCTCGGAGCGTTAGCCCTTCGTCAGAGTGATTGTTCTTGTAAGGGATGTGTCTTTTATTGCAGCCATGATGTATATATATCTAATTAACCAAGCGCTAGGGCCGTACTGGGAGAATATCGGCCCGAGGTCTTGACAGTACGGACCGAGCGCAGCGAGGTCCGTACAAAAAAGACCGAGGGCCGATATTCTTCCAGTACGGTCCCGAGCAAGCTTGGTTAATAAGAGATTTATTACACGACTGAAGTTCAAAGGGACACAAGTGCGGTATCATTCGGGACCATTCGGGACAGTGCCCGGTCCAATACTGAGAGAATATTGACCGGCAATAGAGCATTTTTATTGCTTGATTTTAGTTATTGGCCCTCTGACTTCCCGAGTCGTGAAATAAAACTGGATATTTCATTGTTTGTAAAATGGAAAAAAAGCACAACCTTTTTTTCTTTGTGGTAACTTTTATCAAATAAGACATTAACTTGATGCAGAAAAAAAAATTGGGGCCATATGCACTTAAAATATTAAACAGTCACCTTGCACTGGTTCTCTGGATTTCGTCTGCCATTGAATCTAGTTGCTGAATATTTTCTACTGATGTTACTTGACCTGAAGTCTGAATGGCACTGGAAATTTTCTTTACACAAGACCTACATGCCTGAAACATTAAAAAAAAAAAAAAACTATAGAAAATAATAAACAGATTGATATTGAAAGAGGCTTATCTAAATTAGTCAGTCATTCAGTCCATCAATTAGTCCGTTGAGTAACCACTCACCAGTGAGTGAGTCAACCTATGAAAATAGTAATTTGATTGGATCCAGCTCAGCAGTTAGTTAGTTGGTAAGCCAGCCAACCATCCAGCTGGCTAGTCTGTGAGTCAGTCACTTGGAAGGTCGGTCAACAAGTAAGTGTCCAGATGAATAAGTCAGTCAGTAAGTCCTTCATTAGGTCAGTCACTAAATCAGTCAATCAGTCAGTGACTCAATCAGCCAATCTATAATAAAAGTCCATTATTTTGTAATTCAACATTGCATACCTTGACAAGCCCTATACAAGGAGGAACCAATAATTTATCTTCACTTGACCAACCATCTTTGTTTGTTGCATTATCATCTTCATCACAATCATCTTCTTGACGTCCATTACATTTTTGAGCCTATAAAACAGAAGAAAACCCACCAAGTAAAGTTAACCAGGTTGACCTGTATAACTCATTTGGCCATAAATCTGATTGAAGTTATTTGCAGCAGGCAGTGGAATAATGTTTTTTGTTTTAAGGTTCTTACAAAACTGAACCGATCACACTTGGGAAAATTCAACATAACCACACTTATAAATACCTCATTTAACTCAGTGAGAGCATCTTTGATCAACTCTGAACTAGCCTGGAATACTTGTAAAACTGCATGTTTGTTATCTGCCAAAAATTTCACAACAAGAGTTTCTTAAGCGTGCATCAATAGCATTAAGTGTGTAATCATCATAATTGACAGTAGAATAATCCATTTTGTTCCCTCTCTTGAAAACTTTTCTTTTGTCTCTTGGTAAAATGGTATTTTTTAAATTCAAAGTGCTTTTGGTTGCACAAGTGGTTTTATATAAGCGAGATAAGGCAGTTTATTATACATTAGATTTACTGTGAAACATCTGCTTGGTTGAGAGCATTCAGTCAGTATACAGTAATATGCAAAGTTGTCATGAAAACCCAATAACTGCAGCAGATATTGGGTTATCATTGCAAGTTAAAAGTCTGTCTAGTTTTGGCAGATAATTCAGACCCTCGTTTTGATAATTCAGGACATCCTGCTCAACCTCATGCAATAATTGCTTACTTCCTTTCACAAAAGACTGACTGACCTTTCATAAGTGTATTTTAAAAACTCGTCTGGAATTTCTTACCCGCTGGAAGGTGTTGGAAACCATCACAATGCTCCCACAAAGTTCCTGTTGATTTTGTCTTTGCACTGGCAACACTGGCAAACAAATCAATCATTAATTTAAAATTAATTGACAATCTTTTACATGACCCCCTTGTCGACTCAAATTTAACCAGACTATACAGTCAGTTTACTATCTGGCCTCATTTGTCCAAAGGGTGATAACGCTACTCATTTGAAAAATCTCCATCCCGTGGATAGAGCAGAATACTTTGCTATCATTTGTTTGCTGAATAGCAGCTGCTTTGTCATTAGACAGTGTTATTACATGACTCGGGCAGTCAGAGGGCCAATAACTAAAATCGACCAATCAAAATGCTCTATTGCCGGTCAATATTCTCTCAGTGCGGTGGATGCGGCCGTGTCTGCCGTTCTAGAATTGGGCTTTTCAGCCATGAGAGAAAGTGTTTGTCGCAATTGCGCTAGTCATGGACATGGTCCGATGACTGCCTACTACTATTCTCTCAGTATTGGACCGGGCACTGTCCCGAATAGTCACATGGATCACACTTGTGTCCCTTTGAACTTCGGTTGTATAATAAATCTCTTATTAACCAAGCTTGCTTGGGACCGTACTGGAAGAATATCGGCCCTTTGTCTTTTTTGTACGGACCTCGCTGTGCTCAGTCTGTACTGTCAACACCTCGGGCCGATATTCTCCCAGTACGGCCCTCGCGCTTGGTTAATAAGATATATTTATACACCTTTTAGCCCTTTACACCCCAGCTTCATTATGCATATTCTCCATACTGTTCTTCATACATTTCCTAACAAGCTAACAGGGAGAATTGGTTTAACAACCCCAAGCTTCTTCAGTTGCTGATCATTTCCTTTATTCTCCTGACCTTAATGCATGATTCAGGGGTGATATTGTAAGGAGAAATTAGATGCTAGTCACTTGTAAGGGTCAAACATTTAAACAACTGAACCCAGATTTCCTACAGCACCTTGCACAGCCTTCCTTGATAAATGAAGCAGCAAGAGTTTGACAGTCGTCCACTACAGTCAGAACAGATTCTTGAAGTTTCTTATAAAGATATTTCCCTGAAAGTAGTGTATACAGACTCTGTACATGAATTTTGACAGTCAAACCTCTTACTCCACTCTATAAACCACTCAAGTAGTCTGAAGTATCAGCCATCTCCCTGTCCCAGTCTTCCCTCTGGCTTAGATGTGTTTTTGTAGAATGGGGCAAGGAGATGGCTAACACTTCAGACTAACATAGAGGGAAATTATCTACAGATTTAACAAGGCAAGATGGTGTATAGCTTTCTTACAAACATTAGTCAATTTTCACTTGTTATTGTAAGAGTCAGGGAGAGACTCAGCGGCCTAGTGGTCACCACACTAGTGTTTGAGTCAATAAGTCTGAGACAGATCCATACCTGGTTCTTAATTGGGCAGGACACTTAACTATTGCAGTACCTAACTCCACCCAAGAGTGAAATTGGATACCAGAAAACTATAAGAGAAAGCAATTGAGTCACTTAGGGAGGGGATAGAGCGGGGGGGGGGGTCACCCCTGATGGACTGGCATCCTTTGCAGGAGAACTAGTAAAACTGCTATTTGCATCATGACAATGAAAATATGGAAAGTTCTAGAGGTAGTGGGCCACTGTTTCATAAAAAAATTGCTAGTTCAGGTGTTAACCACTATTATCAAATTTTACCTTGGGACATTGGTAAAGAACGAAATATTGTCAACATGGCTATGACAGATGTCTCAAATCCAGTCAGGAGACACTGCAATTCCTGAAAAAGTGAACATTTTAATGGGGCACGTTTTAACAATAGTTGGTTTAAACAAACTGGTTGAAGAGTGAGTTACAGTATCCTAAATTTAGACCTTAAAAAAAAAAAAAGTTTTAAATGGTGTGACTCACATCAACTGATGGTACTGGAGGCTTTGAAAAGGAAATGGTCAGTTTGGTTGCTTCTTTAGAAACAGCTCTAAAGGTCATGCCTGAAGGAAAAGAGAATGAATGAACATTATGCACTCTTCTAGGAATACAAGGTGGGAAAGAAGGAGTGCAGCCTTTTTTTGCAAAATAATTCAAATGGCGTAGTAAGGAAGGGCATGCATGACTGAGTCTCTTTTTTCAAGTATTCACTGTGTTTGCCAGCTGTATGGCTCCAACAAAACCAAAAAGCAGTTTTATAACCATGTATGCATGAGCTGCAGTCCAACTTTATGTGGCACATCAGCAATTATAACATAACCAAAGTAAAGCTCGCGCTCTGATGGGTCAATTTAGCGTCCCCCATTTGCCCATGGGTGTACGCTGCTGACGTGAGCAAATGCAAAGACTATTTTTCCGCGCGCGCTTGTTTTTTCTGGTCGTGTAAGATTTGTTAAATCTCTTTAGCTACAATGTATCAATGTTATGTTATAAAACAAATGGTAAACACCACAGCGTACACTATTGAGTTATGGATGCACTTGGGAGGTTTGCTAAGCTTGGGAGGTTTGCACTTGGGAGGTTTGCTTTTTCGTGCTTAGCAACCTCCCAAGTGCATCCATAACTCAATAGTGTACGCTGTGGTGTTTACCATTTGTTAAAAGCTCTGCTTGAGGGGGATCTCATTTTAGTTATGGGTAAAATTGAAGAAGAGGTCCCCAAAATATCTGTCGGCTAACTATCGGCTGACTGTTCACTGACAGTTGGCCGACGTAATGAAAACAAATTCAGAAACGAGTAAATAGACTGTCAGCTTGGTAAGTTTGAACTTTCACAATTACCTCAAAATGAATTTTGACGAACACCATGCGATAAAGGTAAATTTCAAGTGCGAGGCATTTTTGGCCATATCGATCTTCATTTATGTGAACTTGATGTGTAGTATCTGACTGACACATTTCGTTCCACTGAAATCGGAAGAATTTAGTTACTTAGATTTAGCGACACGAGTAAATTTTTTCAAAGACTCACAAAGTCGCAGGAGCCCGTGTTTTCGTTGTGTTTCTGTTGTGTTTTCATTGTGTTTCTGTTGTGTTTTCGTTGTGTTTTCTGAGTTTTGTTCTCCAACAGTCAGCTGACAGATATTTTGGCGAGCTGTTCAGATACTCTAGGAGATGAACAAAAATGTATTATGTGCCTGATTCTGAGTGATCTACTTCATCCGGGGGAGGGGGATTTTTTGCATGACCCCCACTCTGAAAATACCCACGTGTTTCCTATATCCTTTACCAAAAACTATGAAACCTATGCTATGGACCTTTGGGCGTAACATTCATCAAAGTGACATTAGTGCAACTAGTGAATGGCCACTGACTTTACAACCACAAATAACCTTCTCCAATCTTCCTGAGGATAGCAGACAGCATGGAGAGAAGGGGATAAGCACACTTTCACAACAAGCCAGTACTGGGCTGACTATGATGATGATGATGAGAATGATAATGATGATGACTGAAATATGATCCTTTATGAAACATTATAAAAATCTTATTCCACCAATTTCATCACCTAACTTCATCCAAAATTCTTCCAGAGAGAAACTCAACTCCAAGTCCTCCATCACTTGTCCTAAGCTTCCCTCTGTATTGGACACAAAGAGGATAAACATCCTTTTGATAAGAAAACTACTGACGATTGTAATGAACGATTGAAGACAAAAAACGACTGATCATCATCGTAATACTTTCACGAATAGATGAGGATGTTGCAAGGTTAAAATTAAAAGCGAACCTTTAATTTTCTCGGCGCAAAGTCCAAGAGTGTCCATCAGAGACTGCAGAACCTCTTCAATTCCAGTAGCCGCCATTTTGGAAATTCTCGTTTAATTCACGATGAATTTCCGACTGTTACCGAGAATTGTAAAACACGTGACTCTGCTTTTCAACATGGCCGTCGCGAGATTATGATAAATATTCATGATTTGAAGAGTGATTGTGGAACTAGAGAAGCATCTCTTACATGGAATGATAATTTATAATGACAACTAGACGTTTGGAGAAGCGTTTAATTTTATGTTGATACCCTGTGGAGAATGTTTTCGAGTGCTTCGAGGAGTCGGTGAACGATGTTAAAGGTTACTCACCAGCTTAAGAAAAAGGTAAAACTGTAACATTACTTTATCGAGAGCGGCTGAAAATATAGCTTAAGAGTTTTTAGATTTGCGAGAGAGTTTTGTTTACTATGATAGCATTGCGCGCATGCCATCGTAACGTAGATCGTGTTACGAGTAAGTAGAGTGAAACCTTAACTAGTTTCGAGTGTAATTTAGATGAGCACAGACCCGTGAACAACCATTACAAGTAACAAGACTTCCGTTTTTAAGCGATAGCAATGGTTGTCAAACCACATTATGTTCACGTTGTAGTGTTAACTGTCACAGATAAGCTCCAATTTCGGGACTTACCGGACTTATCTCATTTGCCCTTTCCTAATTCTTTTCTGAATAGCTCTTTCTGGGAGAAATCGATGACAAAACCGACAAGGTGAAAGAGAGAGGTAGCTCGAAAACGAACGAGATGCAGACTTCTGGATTAGCAGACGGCAACTCGCCAATAAACAAGCGAAAGTCTTTGCCGGCTGTGCCATCTCCAGAGGAAGAAAAGTCGATGAATTTATCGGTTGCAAAGCAGAGGTCACCAACAGCTAATCCTACCCAGGTGAAGGCGTATGGGCCCTATTTCCTCGAGTACACGCTAATGGCGGAATAGTAAGTTTTCGTTATTACTTAAGTCGCATCATAATCGTGTGTACAATGCGCGAGTTTTGACGCCGTGAATAATTTAATTACACGGAATTGGCAAATGCATGCAAGTCTTTTTAACCCACATGTTTACAAGAGATTTCACTAATTGTCTTTGCAAGGGATTCAAATTCTTTCAAATTCCCTTTATGTATTGGTGTCTCGGCTCTCATTATATTTAGCTCTTGACCATCAAAAATAAAGTTTGACTGTTAAAGTGATAAGCATTAAGTGTAGCAGCAGGGGTCTTGGCGCAGCAAGAACTTTTGTAATCTTACAGTAAGAATTGTTGAATTACCATTTGTAATCGTATGGTGTGATCATAAAGTCATTATGATGGGATAATGCAGAATCTTGGAGGTAAACAAAATATCGTTGAGACCTTTTGTGGTCTTTTCATCATCTTGTCATTCTGGTCCTGGTAGTTGGAAGTTTGGATAATGCTATCCACCACATAAATCGCTATCCAGAGGATAGCGCAGTACATTTTGCTACCATTCATCTGCTGATTAGTATGTTGTAGATTAGATGGCACAATCTGCTCTTTATACAACTGATACTGGATAGTATGATATAGTTAATATTAGCATTTAAAAAAAATGCGATTAGAGTGTAAGGTATAAAATTAGTATTTTGTCTGTGTGAACAGTGCAATATGAAGGAGAGAATCATATATTGTGAGGGTAGTGAGGGGTGAAGTTTCTATACAGCTGACTAACACTCTTGATGGGTCAAATTAAATCTAGTTTCATTCTGATTTCAAATCTAAGGAATTCTGAAAAAGATGAACAGTTCCAGTAGTGCAGTCACTGCCGGATGTTTGAGTTGTTAGGCTTGCCATTTTTAGAGGGCAAGAAAGAGACAAAAGTGCATAAACTTTTTGAAAGCAATAATCAAAATTACTTGTGTACACTCAAACTGTTCAACATTTTAAAACTCAGGGTAAAACCTTACAATAATAGTAAATTAAGTGTGATGGAACACATGTTGCACCTAATTTGGAATATTTAGGTTTAAAAAAAAAAACAAAAATAAAACGTGTGATCTTTTCTTTATAATCAGTGTGTCTTATCTCATTGTCTCCACAGCAATCAACTCAGAAGTCAAAGAATCCCAGGTGTTTATGTCCTTCCTGCTGCCAAGTCTCCTCTTGGTAAGGATTTGTTATTTTTTTCTTAAATTAAACATGGTTTCCCACAGTCTGAGTAGGGATGCATTGTTCCAGAAGATGTGTAACACCAGTTATAACATTGCGCAGCACTTGGAGGTATTGCACAAGACACTTTTAGCCTCACTACCCCTTGAAGAACACAGGATACTTTTGTCTTAACTCTTTCACTCCCAAGATCTTATGAGTAACTCTCCTTACTATTTAACATAAAATTTTATGATGCTAGTTTGGAGAACTTGGTAGTTATTCAGTTCAAAATCCCCTCTTTTATATTTTATTTATTCTCATAATTTTTCTACTTGATTTTAATTATCTACTAACATGTATCTGTTTGTTATTTTTACTCTTTCAGTATGGTTTGGAGTTATTTTTATCAGGATGGGCTCTTATCAAGATGGTATATTCAAGTTCATAATGAAAATTCCTGAAAATTTTCCTGATGGAGACTGTCCTGTAAGTATGTATTTAACTGTCCAAAGATAACAAAAGGAAAATAATTCATCAGCAATGATTGATGATGTAATGCCCACAGAGCTGTTTATATACTTTACTCAGTTTGTTGTGGGGCAGTTGGTGACAAGTTAATTATTCCTATCGTCTCATATCTTTGGGCAGAATAGGTAATTAGCCTTTTAACCTCTGAAAGTGACAAGCATCTAAATTCTCCTTACAATAACACCCTTGAATCAAACATCAAGGTTACAGGAATAAATGAAATGATCACCAACCAATGAAGCTTTTGATTGGGTTAACAATTAGGGTTAACAATTTCTTACCATGGTGTAGTACAGGCTGAATAAGTAGTAAATTAAGAAATTACTTTTATTATTTATGACATGTTCTGAAATATGGTCAGAAAACTTAGCACTGTGCAAAGTCATTTTGTTGCTCTTCAGTGACTTGGACAAATACCTCTTACTAACTAAGTTAGGTCTCTACTGTAAGTTATAGACCAAGTATTTTTCAACTCAGTTTTATGGCCCAAGCACAAAGTAGGAGGGATGTAAATCTGAGTGGAAGTAATGAGCTTATGTAACTTAAAGTACAGACCAAGAAAATGAGGTTTGCAAGATATTTATTTTCTCTCTGGGTTCAAATACAGGGAGGAGATTTAAATTCAAACAAGATGTTGAATTTAGTGAGTCACGCAGTGAAATACAGCCTGCTAAATTGACCATTTATAGTGCACATACTAACTGGACTACATACTATGGACCATAGGACCTCAGATTTATGAGATGAGAGACTTAAGGCACCCAATGATTCTTCTTAGAGTGCAGCTTTGGGGTCTGAGAATCAGCTGTTTGTAAAATAAGTGATTATCAAAAACTGTATGCTATATTAAAATATTAAACATTTTTTCTCACAGAGTGTTGTATTCAAGCCCCCAGTGTTTCATCCCATTGTAAATATGGAGACTGGAGAATTAGATGTTAAGCGAGCTTTTCCTAAGTGGAGGTAGTGCATCTGATAAATATGTATTCAGGGGTGGAGGGGGGGAAGAAGGAGGAGGGTGTTTCTGGAATTTATTGTCAGTTGAAAGAAAACTTTTGATAAACAATTATAGTTTGCAAGGGTAGACAAGCACCAAATAGTCAGGAGTGAACTCAAAAGGGGGGCAAGGATAGTTATGATTCACAAATAGAAAATGTGGAAAATTCTGGCAAAGTATTGCTACATAGTTCTGATCTAGTCAATTGTTATACTTGTCCATAAACTGCACTTTGCAATGTATCAACTTAAGTGATCAGGTTTCTTTTATTATTTCCTTTTCTTTTTTTTTTTTTTTCGGAAAAAAGGAGAAACATAAATCACTTGTGTCAAGTGTTGCTGTATGCTAGAAGGATATTTTATAAAATTGATATGAAGAATCCGCTTAATCCTGAAGCTGCCAACTTGTAAGTACCGGCCTTCTTGAAATACATTTACTTTTAACTGTGTGTAAGAGACTGTGAGATAGAAACTTTGATTTGAAATTCCTTCAGTATTTTTTTCCAACATTAATTCCATGTAAGCATTGAAGGTTACTTTTAGTTTTGAAGGCCATTTGTAATTTTTTTTTTTTTTTTTACTTACAGGTATGAAAATGATAGAGATAATTTCAAACAAAAAGTTAACATGTCACTTAGAGCTTGCCTTAATGAGCTTCATCTACCTCTAGCAGATGACCCTCATGCAATTAGGTGGGTTGAGTTTATCATCTGTGTATGGTTCAGTGTTGGCAAAATTTAATGTAAGGTGGTTTGACTCTAGCTATTATCCTTGTCAAGTCACATTTTCCCAGTCAACAGCAGTCTTCAACAAAATACAGTTTTAGTGGTAGAATTTTAATTGTTTTCACTGGGTTATTAGAGTCCAGTGAATCATGCTTTAAATTGGAAGCATGGGTCAATGGTCTTCAAAAAAATCAGGTAGTCAATCTATCAATCCATCAATCAGTTGATCTGTCAGTGATGATCTGTCATAGGGGGAAAATGACATTGGAATGATTTATTTAGGAATTAATATTCCGAGACTAGAAAATGGCTTGGACATTGAATAAAATTTGATGTAAAATGTATTTTTGTGTGTATAAATATGTTATGTTCACACAGGTTTGTTGAACTCAGCCCTGATCAGCATGATGATTTAAAGACTCAAATTATTGATATTCAGGTAGAGAAGCAAGATTTTTTTTTTACCTTTTTTCACATTCTTACTTATAACTAATGTTAGGCCAGTCTTGGTGATTTTGCAAGCAATACATTGTACATTTATAGCAATTCAGTCTTGACCGAAAATCAGTGGTTAATTAACGTGGGTGCTTATGGTAACAGTTGTTGTTTATTACCTCTACTTGTTTGCGTATCAACAGAGTAAACCGGAAAGTCTTCCAACAGCTAATGCGCACAAGTCTGGTTTATCGTGGATGAGGAAAGGTTCCAATCAAATTTTTAGCAAGCAAGAGAGCTAGCAGAGTGTTTAAGTCTACTAAATGAAAATATGTAAATAAACAGACAAACACTCTTATAGGAGTTCCAGATTTTTTTTTTCTCAATTTTTTAAAGGAAATACAGAAAGTGGACAGGTCAAAAGAGTGTATAAGAATAGAGGTACTTGAATAGTTAATTTTGATTTGACTTGGCCCTTAACCCACCGACGTCACCATGCATATTCTCCATACTGTTCTCTATACATTTCCTAAGGTACTGACAAGGAGAATTTGTTTAACAAACAAAAGCTCTTTAGTTGATCATTTTTGTGATTCTCCTGACCTTAACATGTGATTCAGGGATGATAATGCAAGGAGAAATTAAATGTTAATCACTCTAAGGGATTGAAGGGTTGGTGTATGTTGACAAGAATTCTGTCTACTTTGTGGCTGGGAAAAATGCTTGCAACTTGATTTGGTACTACAAATGATTGACAGTTTCCTCAGAGTAATTTTAAGGGAGTACTGATTCAAAAAGTCTAAAGGAAGTTTCATCATGAACAGTGTTAGCTGTTAATAGACGTATATCTCCTGCCTTGTGGTTATGCTCCACTTTAAGTCTTATCACACCAGTGTTCAAGGTTAGGGTGGATGTCTAGAAGTTATTTTAACATGTGCAAAAGTAAGGTACCAGTTTTACTGTTTCACGTCACACATCCAAAGGGAATATTTCAATAATTATTATTAGTTATTGAATAATAAATTTAGTTATCAGGGAATGAAAGTTGTGGTTGATAAATCAATATTTAAAGAGAATCATTTATTTCTGGTTTAGACATTGATGTTGGGCAGCCACCAAATACTGTCATAACCTCATACAAGGGGTCTTGTCAAAATGTAGTGTCATTTTTCATACCAATGAAATATCTCTTCTTAGAACAACTGAGGTTCATGCAAAAATCTTTCAAGACACAAAGCTGTGGTAAATTGTTGTAACTTAATTTACAAAACATTTTCCCCCTAACTAGTCAGCCATTCCTAATCATTAACAAGTGGACATGATAAAGTTAAGGTAAATTTCATAGCATGAAGTAATTCAGTTTTAAAATGTCTTTATTTGAGATTTTTGTTGGGTTGGAAATTCAGAGTGCCTAGCAAGCAACCTTATGATTTTTTTTACACTAGAAGTTATTTATCTTAAATAAAAATAACATAAACTGTAATTTGTATTTCTGTAAAATACTGAAATTATGAATAAAATTAACTCAATTTGTACATGGTCTTTGCTTTTGCAGGGTTTCAACTACGAGTCTGATAATTAATAAAACTTTTCTTTTTTATTTCCCTTCTCACAAGAATAGTTAAATAACCCAGATTTATTACAATTATCTCCAGTTATGTTTTTGTCATCAATAGCATTTTCTTAGTATCTAGTGAAAACATTAATGAATAAAATAAGCCACAAGCAAAGACTTATTCCACTTACTCAAATTATGGAATTGATTCCTTAGATGTCTTACTTTGCAAGTGTCTCATTAATTTTTAATCAGTGAGAGAGTGTCAGCACTCTGACAATTCATGACTGTCGAGTGTTTACCACTTGAAGATAAACAGCGTCTATTTTTTGGCTTCAAACTGAGCAAGATGTAATCCCTTGCAATAATACTTTGAAGTTACAGCCAGAAGGCCACAAGTTGCTGGTACCATAACATGGTAAAAAAAAAATTAATAAAAAAAAAAGAGCAAGATCCTGCAGTTTCCAGCCTTTTCAACAAGAAGAATATTGTATATCTAGAAAGTATGGTAATATCATGCAACATGACTTGCTGTGGTTCATAACTAAATTATGTTGTCACTGAGATTTTCTTTTCATAAGTTCCTCCACCTCAGCTGACCTTAGATACTTCCATACTGAATTGTCCAATTCATAGCAAGTCCCTTTCCAATTGAAATGTGTTGGAGGGTCATTTTCCTGGTTCCCTTTTCGGTATTCAAAGTGAGGACTCAGTTCAATAGCAAGACTTGACTTAATCAGTGCCACACCACCAACTTTATCTGGTCCTGGATGATAAATTCTTCCACTCTCGGGAAGCATGCAGACCTTTTCTGGTTGAAATGGGAATGTTAGTGTTTCTCCAATTCCACTGTAGGTCAAAAGTCCAGGTGATTTACTGCCACCATCTATATCTTCCATAATGGTGGCAAAAACAACTGGCACATCATCACAACGGATGTAGTTCATTTCAAGACCACAGGGTGAAATGAAAGGGAAGTCCTCCTCAAACCTTGATGTTTTATTTTGTTTCAGTCTCTTGAAGAAAAACTTGAGAAACTGCTTGTCTGAAATTAACAAATTCAAAGTGAGACAGGTATGAGGAGGAGTATAATAAGCATTGAATGAAGAACACAATGAAGTTCACACAGAACTGGAATTTCAACCAAGTTAACAATAAAACATGGGATCTCCCCATAATAACCTTTAAAACAGGTAATAAAATTCTTCACTTTTGTGTCATCAAGGAACAACTGAAAGAGAATGGCAAATCTTTAGTACATCTCACCATAGTTCATGAAGGTTGTACTACATTTGTATTAAGTCAAAGAAACTGGCTTCAATTAAACTTTAAACAAATTTCTGTCCCCTTTTGTAAACTTTATGTGAATAAGTTAGTTTATTCCTTACTTCTTTCAATTTCCAACTGAATTTCTTGTTGATAGAATCTTCATATTTTCATTGATTCTATCCTCACAGACAGAAGATAATAAATGTTGTGGTGTAACTAAACTGAAAATATTGCCAGTCTCAATAAAATAATAATAATTGCGGCCCAGGACCAAAGCCTCCCTACCAAGTCTTATTTCGCAAGGATTGTTAAAGACAGTAGCAGTCCACTATGCAGAATATGCCACAAGTATGAAGAAACGGTAGATCTAGCTGCCACGAACTCACAAAAACTGATTATCTAGAGAGGCACAATAAGGCAGCTACATATATTCATTGGAAGGCATGCCAGCATTACAATCTTGAAGTCCCAGACAGGTGGTATGAACATAAACCTGAGACGTAATATTAATAATAATAATAATAATAATAATAATAATTTTTTAAAATAATAGTAATCAAACTTTATTAACACTCAAAGCAAATAACTATTTACAGGTTAAAAGTAAAAACGACCTAATAGTAGTTCCGATTTCAATTAAAATCCTATTTACAATCTAATCCTTTTCATCATTAATATTATTATTGTCGATGCTAAAATAAAAATGCGTCTTTATTGTTCAAGAAATAAAATTACACTAGCCCTAAAATATTAATCATAATAATTTAATAAATTCACAAAAAGGTAGAAATAAAAAAAAGAGAAGGTATATATAAAAACTTGGTAAAATTCACAAAACTAGGTTTGACAAGTGGTAGCGTTGTCGAGGGAGAAGTCCAAGTTGATGATATTGAGGGTTCTTCTGATAATAATAATAATAATAATAATAATAATAATAGTTATAGTAATAATTAAAACATAGGCAAATTATCTAAACAGAGGTACACCAATTCTTACCCTGAACCCCTTGCTGAAAAATGAACATTACAACCGTTTTTCAGAACCACGCCTCACTTCTTCCTTACTTACAGTATGGGGGAAAGGTTTTCGACAAAAATACTTCAAACAGCTGACATATATTTTTGCAAAAGTAAGGAAATCCAAGCACATACATAAACGCAATCCATGAAAACATGAATATTAATTCAATCCATGTGTAATGCAGGTCAACTAATCAAAGGTCAATTTCGATCAGTGACCTGAAATAAACTATTTTTTTATTGAGTGTCACACAACTGTCTGTAGTTTTCGACTGCGGCGTGCTCCACTGGTGTAATATTCCTAAGTTGTGGCTAGAGGACTTGAATTAAGAGTGTAAAAACAGTAAAATGAAAGAATAAGCCACAATTCTATAGTTATACCTGTCCTTGATGGTCAATGTAGTAAAAGTACTCTCGCACTTTTGGTGAAGGAGATTGACCTTGTACATACGACACAACATGACGTGATACAGCAAACTGACTGCCCCGAAGCACACATCCACGCCTAAACAGAGCTAACATATGGCTGCCAGTTCCTCTTTAGCTGGGCTTCAAGTAATAGAGTAAAGGCAAGACAGATGAGCACAATAACGTAACTGGAAATAAATCGATAACTTGTGCTAAGCTGCCGTTTTGTTTTGATTTTGCGAGGATTACAGCGACCGCAAGGCAATGTGGGGGTACGCATGCCTTTGTTTGAACTCGCTGAATATTGCAAACGCGGGCCCTGAAGTTTGAACTGTCTCCTTGAAATTGTCAAGGAAAGTTTGACCGTGTCTCGCTAATATTTCGATAGTTTCCTTAGAGAAAATACCACTTAAAGAAGGGATTTACTTCAATTAACATGTGATAGAGTTGGAAGGGGGCTATGGTTTCGGAAATTGTCGCGTGGAAGCTCTGAGAAAAGTTTTATAATTATGGCGGCACAACAGAAGCGCTCATGGAAACTTCGTAAGTAGATATGGAGTTCACCGGTACAAAATTTGAAATTTGAGTTTGAGATGTGATTAAAACTATTGGATACTGGGCATTATGTTATGTAATTTGCTGTACGATTCGTTCGTTCTAAAGTTGTGAAATCGAATTCTCTTGCGTCAAAAATTTCGTCTGGCCATGTGTAACGTCATGTCAGTTCAAGCACGAGTTTACTCGTAAATTAAGAATGTAAACGAACGCTAGAACTACTCGTGTGACAAACTGAACTATTTCTTTTCACTTCAGAAAAATCGTGTTTTTTTTCCTATTTTTATAATTCTCTATATACCAGATTTATCAAGTTACTTTGTCAAGGGTGCGGAATTTTGTCGGAAATAGGCTTAGTGTTCCAATGAGGTTGTTTGACGTTCGGTTTTAAACGGATTATTGAGGTGAATGTCACCTCCCGCGTGTCTGTCACTGAGCCTTTTTTCACGCCAATTTTTAGTTCTCCATAGCGAATTGTTGTTAAAACGCGGTTGGTTGGTTAATTAAGCTGATCGTTTTCAAAGAAGTTGAAAATTTTTCTGATGTTTCCCTAGAACGTTCATCTGTCTCAGTAGATGAGTGATTTCTGAATTCTACAACAAGAGGGGGTTGGACCTTTTGAAGAGACATTGTGTCTAATTACAAGCTGCAGACAGAAACATTTGGTTACAAAACAGATCCCTAGATGATTAATTTTCATTGATTATAATTCAACCATAATTTTTCTTTATATCAGCAAGGTGTTTTTGTTGGGCATTTGAGTATTTTCTGATTTAATATGCACAGAATATGTATGGAGTGGGGTGTTTACTTTGAATGAAACTGTGTCATTAATAATTTAATTAACATTTGCAGGTTTCAAATAAGTTCACTGGTTTCATGATAAGCTACTGTTTTGATAAAAATTAACATGTTTTAGAATCCATTCAGGAAGTTTTCCATCACTGTGAAGCTTGAGAATATTGTCACACAGCTAAAACTCAACATAGTATTAAATAAGCTTTTGTTGTTTAAGAAATTCACAGAGATGTGGAGATTCTTGCCCTGTTTTTATTGTTGTTTAAAATTGTCGTAGGTTAAAATAAATTTAAAATAGATTTATTAACCAAAAACAACGGAGAGAACAAATTAAACTATTAACAATTCTAAATCATTTGGATCTGAAGTTTATTTTGAACCACAACATTTTCAGTTGTGAATCAAGGGTACTTTGGTTTCAATCTTTTTACTTCCGTAAACAGGGTTTTCATCTGTCTAAGACCCTTTTGAAAAAATCTGTTGTGAAGGAAAAAAAATGTGATGCTGGTCTCGATATCTTTGAATCAAAGTAAAACTTGAACTACAAAATGTTCCAAGCTTCACTATCATGGTTTCAATAACTATTAAATTACATTTAAATTTGAAATTGGTATAGATTAAGGAAAAGGAGAGGTAGAGAAAGAACAAAAGCTATTTTGCCTGATACTGGAGTATAAATGACATAACTATAAAAATTGTTTGTTTACTGAAAATTCCCAACTTGAAAGCTTGTTGAGGCAGGTTATTATAAGAATTAATCCAGGTTAAGATAATTTTTTGCCTATGTTTTTAACCATTTTTTTTCTATACCTTATTCAGTCTTTTATCTTAACTAGAGCTTATCACTTATTTCCTTTTTTTTTTTTTTCTAAAGTAAAATGAGGACACTTTGCGCCAACCACATTTTAATAATCCCTTTTAAAATGCATATTGTTCCAAGGTTGACTTTTAGAATCAAATATTTTTGCTTGTTGTGACAAATTATCCCTATGTCTTGAATTACAGAGGAATTTGTGGCTCATGGGTCAAATGTTTCTTGTCTGTCACTGGGGCCAACTTCTGGTCGTGTCATGGTAACAGGGGGAGAGGATCGCAAAGTCAACATGTGGGCTGTGGGAAAGCCAAATGTAATTCTGGTAAGAAATAATCCATCTTTTAAGGTCAAGTGCTTTTATCTATCTCTTGCCAGAGGTACATACATGTTCTTATCAAAGAGAAGTGCCTGACATGAAGGAAACTACTTATGCACAAGAACAGGTCCAACAAGATGTTTGCAATGTCATTCCTTTATTAAACATACTGTTTAAAGTGTTGTTCACTTAGCACAGATTACACCACCAGAGTACCTACAACACAGCCAAATGTTGTCATACGAACCGAAGACTGCTTTAAATTTAACCTAAGCCAGGACACAACACTAACTTTTCAACTTAGTAGCCAAGTGGCTAGTGACAACTTAGATGTTACAACAATTTCAGTTAGTTTGGAAGCCAAATTGGTTTGTGGAAATCGAAAACCAACAGTCAAAACTGAATTTCTACTAGTCTAGCTAGTTGGCTATTGTAGTGTTGAGCCCTGTAAACTTTGCAGATTTTTTTCATTAACAATAAGTACAAGAAATGGACAGTAGCCTTTATCTATAGTTAAACAATCAACTTGAAAGCCATAAAATTACTATAAAAGTGATCAAAAAATTATGAGCACTATGCAATAATGATAAACACATAAAGATGATGATGTTATATTTTAGAAATATTTATTTATACAGACTCTGTCAGGCCACACAAGTCCTGTAGAATATGTTCAGTTTAACAGTGGGGAGGATCTTGTTATAGCAGGATCCCAGTCAGGAACACTGAAGATTTGGGATTTAGAAGCTGCCAAGAGTGAGTTGAAATTTTAACATTATTGTCAGTTCCAGAGTTTAAGTCTGTTATTCCTTTAACCTTTGGGCCCCAAGAAATGATCAATTTGTAACTTCTCCCCAGTATATCCATTCATTATCCAGCAAACAGGTAATGATAATACCCAAAGTTATCAGGAAGAAGTGTTTTTCTTGATCTAACACCAAAGTCTGGTAACTTATATACAAGGAAATCTGTGGTAGTTACTGGGGAGAATTAACTATCAGATCTTGGGAATTGAAGGTTGTACATACATACATAGATACATACATACGTTACTTGACCACTCCCCATAGGGGCTTTTCAGAACCAATTCCCACCCCTTCCACCCAGGGGAGGACATCCACCACACAGTAATCTCGTGCATGGGAAATTAGCATCTCCTACCCCTAACCCTGCAGGAGAGGGGGCCTGGGGTTTATTGGTCCTTATTAGAGAAGACTAGAATACCTATCCATTTTTTGATTATAGATAGGTAGTAAATTCTCCTCACTTATTTTAAGACCATGAGTATTGGTCCGGCCGGGGCTTGAACCCTCCACCTCCCCGCACAACACAATCCGGCGCTCTAACCAGTCGAGCTAACCGGGAGGTTGTAATGCTGACACCTATCTTATCAGGACTATTCTGAGCATGTGTGTCTCAGAGAGTTTACTGTAGTTAGGACTAGCTGCTTGCTCTTTACTGAGGCAATATGTCCTGGTTTCCTTCGCAATTCCCATGGAATGAAGCAACAGGGGTTATTGTTACTTCACTGTGATGGAATGCTAGTGACGTCTCCTTGACAGATCACTTAATCCCAGGTGAAGGGAGGCAATGCAAGATTTTATCCAGGAATACAACAAAATGATCTGATCAAGGCACAATACTACATTTCTCAATTTTGATTCAAGTAAAGTAATCTTTAGGCCCCTACATCTTCATCAAATACTCTATCTGCAAATAAAACAATTATATTGTCTACTTATGATGTTTTTTCTTAGTTGTCAGGACCCTGACTGGCCATAAGAGTAGTATACGTGGTATAGACTTTCATCCTTATGGTGAATTTGTAGCATCAGGTTCTCTGGACACAAATGTTAAGGTAGGATTTTTTTTTTAAAGGTGATTTGTTATTCTCTACATTGGGATTATTTGTGGGACTTTAAGGTTGTGATGTCAAGAAAATAGCAAACCTAAAGCTCCGCCAAGAAATTTATACTTACAGCCAAAAATTAACCATTACATGTATGTCTTGGTGGAGCTTCTCTCTGTTATTTAGGTATAGCATTTCCTGAGTGTAAAGAATGAATTTACTTTTTGGCCACAATACAACGGGGCTCGACACTAACTTTTCAACTTACTAGCCAAATGGCTAGTGACATCTTAGATATTTTTAGATGTTACAACAATTTCAGTCTGATTACTAGTCAAACTGGCTAGTGGAAATTGAAAACCACTAGCCAAAACTGAATTTCTACTGGTCTGTGGCTAGTGGGCTACCGTTAGTGTCGAGCCCTGATACAATATAGCAACGTGTTGGCACAGTGAGATATGTTATCAAAAAATGCTATACAGATACTATTATGATAACTGTTATCAATGATTGCCTTTAACTTTTGTGAAATTAATTGATGGCAAAGAGTAACAATTAATACTACAGAAGCTATTTCTTTATGCATCCCAAACTTCTCTGTATATGGTGAAGTGAAACATCTTTTAGATAGGCCAATACAATGCAAAAAGCTGGTATATTGTGTGAGTATTAGCAACTTGTGATAAAAGAAAACTTAAGAAAATGTTGCAGAAAAGATTGAATGTCATATTGGGTATCATTTCCTTTTCTTTCAGCTTTGGGATGTCAGACGAAAAGGTTGTATTGTCACACTCAAGGTACCTGTTAAAGTCATACTCAAATTTTAAATGCCAGGAGATTTAAGTAACTGGTGATATTGACTTAAAGTTCTGAAATATTTATTTGATCATAAGAAGTTCATTTTTTTATAGCGACATCCACGTTAGAGGTTGTTGAAACTTAACAAAAAAAATTTGTAGCTATCTCAAGGATCGCTAACTTTTTAATTCTGTTGTATTATTAACAGGGTCACACTGATGGAATTAATTTTGTGAGATTTAGTCCAGATGGCCGGTGGATTATATCAGCTTCTGATGACAACACTGTTAAGGTGATGGAAGCTTCTTAATATCTTATGCGGTATTTAGAGTTTAGAATTTTCTACTTTTTCCATATTGCAAAATTAAATATTAAGTCTTTGTGAGTCTATATATTACTGTAAGAAAAGGAACCCTCTAAAATGTGTCCCCCTCCCAATGTGGGGTTTTGTAGCTCATTTGGTAGTAACTTTCAACTAGTATCTAGGGGGGGGGGGATGGGTTCTAATCCTGTTGAAACTTGATATTTTTTCGGGCTTTTTTCTTTTCTTTTTCCTTTTTTTTTTTTTTTACAATTGCTTGAGTTAGGCATGCTTGCAAGTATCATGGCTTTATTTGAATTCAATCTGTTGGTCATATGAGATTTATTCATTATAAATTAAGTCTTATGATAACAAATAATAATGTTTTTTTTTTTTTGTCTTGTTAGTTGTGGGACTTGACAAGTGGAAAACTCCTTCATGATTTTAAGCAGCACACTGCAGCTGTTAATTGTGTTGAGTTTCATCCAAAGGAATTTTTGTTAGCAACTGCCAGTAATGACAGGTATATAGACCGTGTGATTTATCAGTTGGTAGCTTTAGAATGATTTACTCAAACTGTGTGTGTTATACTTATTGATTATGTAATTATGTGGTTGGGGCCCAATTTACCTTCCAGTTTTGCAAGCAATAAATTAAGTGGTACTGCACGGAAGAGGTAAACTTGAAGTAAATTTATAAACAATAAACATCCAATCAAACCTTGGTGACAAGTTGTAATGTTTTGTTTGTTTTAGGACAGTAAAATTCTGGGACTTGGAGACTTTTCAGCTGGTGTCTACTATAGATCCAGAAACTAGTGGCATTAGGTGGGTGAATTGTCAATTCTAGGTTGTGGATGGTTCTTGTCCAAATCTGTGCATCTCAGCATTAAAATTCTCCACAATGAGCTACTGATGAAAAGATTTCCATTCAAAGAAGAGCAAATACTTCTAAATAGTTCATAGTTAATGGATTATAAGTCTTACTTTTTTGGAGTCAGCACCAAGGATTTGGTTTAATCAGTTAATATTATGGTTACTACAGTGTAATGCTGTCAGTTTTAACATTTTGCAGTCCTTGCCTTGTCATGTGATGTACAACAGATGTTAGAAACTGGCTTTTTTGGTTTGATTTACAGATGTGTGGCATTCCACCCTGATGGACATTCATTGTTCAGTGGAGCACAAGATTCCATGAGAGTGTATGGCTGGGAGCCAGTTAGGTGTTATGACAGCTTTTCTCTTGGATGGGGAAAAGTTGCTGACATTGCAATTTCATCCAACCAACTTGTAAGTAAATCTTGCCTTTTGACTTCCCTTTTCAATTAAGGTGGCTTGACGTATTTCTAAACATGAGTTCTTTGATTGATTGATGCTACAACAACTGCACTTTTTCATTTGTGTCCTTAGAAGTGGTACATGTAACTGCATAATTATTTCTCAACAAATTGTATCTTTGTAGATTGGGGCATCATATCATCAGACAAATGTCTCTGTGTGGGTAATTGATTTAGAGGTATGTTTTATGTTTTTCATGCATGTACAGCTGCTATTAAGAGCATATTTTCTTTTCTCATGTTTACCTGAGTGTGTTATTTCAGTGTTACTGAGTTATCAATTTCTCTTTCTTGTGTTTAGCATTTAGAAAACCTTGTAGCAAAGTATAATGATGAGACAGCTGATGTAGGGAATAATGTAATGGTGAGTGGCAGACTTCTTTATTTCTGATGTATAACCCTAACATTGATCAAACAGTGGATAATTACTTGCCTCCAAAGCAATTTTCTCCCCTGAAATTGACAATGGAAATAAAAATACAAATAGAATTGACACATACTCACAGATCTTCTTAGTTTATTGTGGTCTCAGGCTGCTTGGTACAACCAATGGATTAATTGTGGATTTAATCTACCATCAACTCATAGGCTCAAACAGAAGACACTGAAAAAATTAATCACCAGTTGAATGTATTACATTTTATTAAAAACTGGATCATTGGATAATGCAATTCAAGACTTTTTATTGGCTTAGCCATTATGGTCTATGAGCCAATGTACCATAATCTAATATCTGTACATTGTAACATCCGGTTTCTTTTTAATAAAACAATTATTCCACTTGTGTTTATTGGATATGAGATGATTATAGCCGTGTTTGTTGGATATGAGATGATTATAGCCACCTTGGCGCTACGCGCCTCGTTGGCTATCTATCATCTCATATCCAATGCGCACTCGTGGAATAATTGTTAAATATACTAAGGATTGCATGCAGATGGCCTTAAGGAAAGTATCATGCTTTTGAAAATGGGACAAGTCCAGAATTGCTGGCAATAATTCAGCCCTTTCAAAATTTTGTTCTGTTTTTTTTTTTCTTTTGAAACTTTGCTGGTCCAAATAGGCTTAAAAATCCTCAAATGACATTGGAATTGATACTTTGCTGATGTTATTATGGTTTGATATAATATCAGAGGTTAGAGGTCCTGATGCTTTATATGACTGAGTTCTCAATCTGTTACACAGGGAGGAGCACCAGGGGAAGAGAAACTGGCTAAAGTTGTACCATCTAACAAAACGTGAGTCATTTGAACAAACATACTTAAACCTCGCAAACCTCTTAGTGGATTTGCTCTTTTAGGAAAAATGGAATTATAATTAGAAGTGGCTCCTTGTTCAGTCTTTAAGGTGAAACATTAAATTAAGGTATTTTTTTGCCTTTACAGACCACCTAGAAAAGCATTTAGTACAGAGAGACCTCAAACAACATCTTCAAAACCCAGGTTTGTATTTAACACTTGGCTTAGGAACATTTTATAAACCCTGGGTTGTCTTCATTGCGGTTTGAATAAACCAGCCTTTGAGCCTTGGCTAATACTTAGACAACACTTGCTGTAGCACCTTTTTGGTACAGAAATCAAGTGAAGTTCTTGTGGTTGTGGGTTATAATGCTTGAAACACTTGATGTTAGACTTAACATAATCTGACTTTAATTTTAAAATTCTGTTAAATTTTCAGACCCAAAGCTGAACAGCCAGGTGTGCCAGAAGAGCCTTCCAGCAAAGAGGGAGAGTCAAATGACAACAAGAACTTGGCAGCCCCTGATGATATATTTTCAGCAAAGCAGAAACTAGGTGAGTGAAGTATTTCTTTGGCCAAAATTGTGTGACACTGAAGGAGCTCACTCAACAATCACCCAGTTTGGGTGAATCAACTCGTGGTCTCTCTCTCTCTCATTCAAATTCCCAATTTAAAATACAGATAATGGGGTGGACATCAAGAAATGTGGCAGAAGGAAAACAATGTTAATTAAGTGGACAATATTCTCCATGGCTGAATAAAAAATTTCTCAGGGCATGGAAATTTAGGGGGAGAACTCTCTAATTTCCAATGCCCAGTTAAGGCTTAGTGTAAAAAAAAAACATCCCAAAAAGTCAACTGAAAAGTGCTTTAGAGCTATTCTAGCAAACTTGCCAAATGTAACAAAAACATAAAAAAATATTTATTTTACAGATCGTACACCTCCAAGACAAAAACATGAACCATTTCAGCCTCCCTTAGAGGACCCTCTATCACACGGTAAGAGTAACTATTCAACCTCTGCAATTGTTGATGGCTTCATTTATAATTAGCCTTCTTACTTGAAGTTATTTTTTGTTTAATTTATTTATTTATTTACAGGTCCTTCTAAGCAAGCCCCAGTCGTTAAGCCATCTGCCATTGCTCCCGATCCAGTCAAACCATCCAAGGTGAGATTTACCATATACCGTGAAAGGTTTGTGGGTTTTGATTTTTTTTGTTTGTTTGTTTTGTACATGATCCTCAATCAGTAAAAGTAACTTTCAACAGAAAAAAACATCCCAAAAATATGATGATGTGAATATTTACTATAACTGTTAGTCAATTGAAAACAGATAGTTTTAAAGAGTAAGTAGAGTAACAGTAACTTTATATTTATTGTATTTAAACTCAATCTGTGCAGCTCCCCCTGTACAGAGTACATTTTTTTAAAGAAAATTTAAAGATATGTTAATTTTCTTTCCATTGTTTTCTTACCTGATTTGAATATATTGGAAAATTAATCTCCAAAGAAATTCTAATCGTTTCAAACTACAATTATTTGTCACTGTGACTAAACACAAAAAATTGCCAATTTGCAAGATAAAACTCACAAAATTTATGCAAGACACAGTACATCTATTTACAATTGAAAACTTTCTCATAGCTAATGGTCCCTGAATTGCCCCACTGATGGGGCAGCACTCACAACAGAAGGGTTCTATCTTTTTCCTTATGTCTCCTAAAAAGTTTGGATCTGGTCCTTTATTTTTTAGCCTACTTCAGTAAATGAAAATCAACAACACCAACAAATGATACCCTCAGAGAGAGACAAACCAGCTGGACTGGTATTGTCTGACTTTCTCCCAGTAAGTACTCTTCAACTTTTGAATACACTTTTGAATTTTTTATTTTATTTTAAGAAGATGTGATGGTTGAATTTGAAGACATAAGTTAGGCTGATAAAAGAAAGGTCAATTTTGTTGAAGTACAGATTTGTTAGAAAATGGAGTTGAGTTACAGACTGAGGTTATGCTGTGCATTTAAAGTTGCAAATTCTGTTTCTAGGTAACTATGCTTGATAAAATGAAAATTGAAAGAAACATTTCTTTCTCTTTGTAATAATTACTAGTGAAAATTAATTTTTTCTTTACTCTCAAAGATCAGTAGTCTTCAACTGATCGTACTATCAATTAATTTGGATATATCAACGCTCCGACGAAGGGCTAACGCTCAAAACATCAGCGTTTGTAATTGTTACGGTGGCCAATTTACCATTTCAACTTTGTTGATATATCCAAATTATTTCGTTACCCCCACGGACGCAGCCCCAAACAGTTTCTTTAGAAACTATCAGCCTTTATACTATCAATACTATCAATTAAGGTGGTTATGTAGTAGCTTGTTTTATATTTATATTTGTTCCTTGTTTCTAATCTTTTTTAGTCCAGAGCTCCTGCAATCAATGACCCTTCGCAAAACAATGCCAATTTTGATCAACATAAATTTCAACCAAAGAATCCAGCCATGTCAGAGAAAGATGTCATCTCTACACTGTCAAAAAGTAAGTTTAGTACACTTCAGTTAATTCTGTTTTTAATCCTTTCTTTAAGTTGTTCACTTCAAGGGATTTTTATTATGCCAACCCTGTATTATTGCCTTTAAAATTTACGATTTTTCTTTAGTCACCAGTATTAAGAGTGTTCCATATTTATTTGGTATCATTTGGGCTTGAAAAGTTAACCAGTGAAAAGTTGAAAAGTTAAAAGTTTCCAGTAGTTCAGGATTCTTTTTATATCCATACCATAACTGCTAAGTTTCATAATTTCACAAAACACGCATGAAAATTTGCACCACATCAGAGGAGATTGTATGGGTTTAACTTTGTGTACGCCACAAAAAGCAGGGCTCGAAATTAATGGTAACCCATTAACCAATGGTTAGTAATTTTCAACCTTTCGTTACTGAAAATGTGTCCAACTAACCCGACATGGTTAGTAAAATTTTCTTAGAACTCATTTAAACATTGGTAGACCTGAGGACAAAGAGCATGTAGACCCGCCTCTCAGAGGAATACTTAGAATACTCAAGTTGTTATAATAAATAACTTAAGCTCTTTTTAGAGAATGTGCGGTAGATGTACTGTTCTTGACTAATCCTCGTAAACGAGAGGGAAATAAAATAGGTGCATAATTGTCAATGTTTTTAAGGTCACCATGCAATTTCAGCTACTCTTTAATTTGTCCTAGTTGTTATTATCGAAATGTTTAATATTTGAGATATTGTAACGTGTGAGCTTGAATACCAAACTTGATAATTTGGTTAGTAAAAGAGATGTCTACTAACCCGAAGGGTTAGTGATCCAAAAATTAAATTTGAGCCCTGAAAGAGTGACCCAATATTGGACATAAAGCTGCTTCACCCCCTCCCCCCGCCACCCCTGCACTTTGTAAACTTGTTCCCCCGCCTTTCCTCCTCAACTGACCTTGCAAAACAAGAAAATTTCTTTATTCTCGTAACTTGTCTGATTGATATGGTATTGATTTTGTAAGGAGAAATTCTGTCTTGGTCATGTATGAGAGAGTTAAAGAGTTGACTGATATAGTCTGGTCGTTGTTGTAATGGTGGTTCTTATTCGATCCAGATGTTTTACTGAGGAAGAGAGCATCTGTTATGAAAGTGAGAAAATGGGTAAATTGAATGTAAATTTGATGGATTGTTGTTTTCAGGTCATGACTCTATAGCAACCATTATGACGGCAAGACTCAAGAATCTTAGTGTTGTTGCAAGACACTGGGGGGATGGCGAAATAAAGGTTAGGAAGGAATGACATGTGATAAGTTCAACTAAGTTTCTATTATGCTATTCAAATATTTTACACCTTTTGTTTAATGTTCCTTTTCAGACTGCAGTACAAGTTTCAGTAGATATGAATGATCAAGCAATCCTAGTGGACCTGCTCAATGTTCTCTGTTTAAAACAGTATGTTTACCTCTCTGCATATTCTTTTCTAAACCCTTAAAACAAATTCTCCTTGTCAGCACCTTAGGAAATGTCTAGGGAACAAGATCAAGAATATTGCATACTGATATTAGGGTGTAAGGTATCAATTTCAACTTGTTGTGCTGTCAAAGCTTCACAATGTCAGGCTCTTACAATAGAGGAGCAGGTAGATTGCAAACTTTTAATTACCTGTAACATTCATTATCAAAAAAAAAAAAATCCTGAGAAATTGACTTTTCTTTACAGGACATTATGGAATTTAGATGTTTGTTCATTGTTACTTCCTCACCTTAAGGACCTGATAAGTAGCAAGTATGAAAGGTGAGAGAATGTTTCATCCATTGGATTAAAATATGTTAAAGGAAAATTCATTGCTTGATGAGGGAATTCCGCATTCAATTGCATGTGAAAACCTATATTGCATGAATGGCAAAGAGATGAGTGCAATATCAGTTTTCAAGTGCAATGTAATGTGGAATTCACCAGTTAGGTTATTGATTTTCATTGAGTTGCATATAATTGAGTAAAAAAAGAAAACAGCAATAGTGTTAACCCTTTAACTCCCATGAATGACCAAGACTGAATTTCTCCATACTGTATCAATACAATATTAAATAGAGAAGTGATGAGAATAAAGAAAAAAATATCAATGAGGGGATTGTTGGTTGATCCAATACCAAATTCTCTAATCAACCTCAGAGGAGAATTGTGAATAAGATCTCAGGAGTGAGAGGGTTGTTAATTGTTTTTACCCTGAGTATGAAACAAGAGAAGTGAAACAATATCTCTTATCCTTTATATTATATATACAAGGCTAAAAGATTAAGAAAGAATTATTAAAAAGTTTAAACCAAATGTTTTCGGCTGTTTGCCATCATCATCCTGTTTGCCATATGTGGCAGGTCAGCTTGAAGAATTCGTCCTCCCACCCTTAGAACACCGTTGCTGTCCATGATTGGTTTGAGGCGATGTAAAGAGCTTGTCCTCTTTGAAGACCTTTCTATGTCGGCATATTCTTTCTTTTGTGACTTGTTTGCCAAAACTTCCATTTCTCTTGGGAACGCCCAGTGCTGTGCAGCCTGATGATGGCAAACAGCCGAAAACATTTGGTTTAAACTTTTTAACAATTTTTTTCTTAATCGTTTAGCCTTGTAGATATAATATCTTTTATCAAGCAAACATTATGGACATCTCTTATCCTTGTTTTCAACTTGCAATTCCATGCTAAATACCTCGTTTCGTTTACCAATCAGAAGCTGAGATTTTACTCAATTGTGCAACTCAACAGTATCAGGCTTGATACCAGTAATTATGGCCAACCTTCTTATGAGCTCCTTCATTATTGTCATCATATCATCATCTCATTTATTGTATGTCCATCAATTTACATATATTATTTATTTTACAGTTATGTCCAAGCTGGTGCTATAGCAATCAAACTTATTCTGCGAAATTTTGCTCCAGTCATTAAAAGTAACATGGCAGCACCACCAGTGTCCGTGGGAGTTGACCTAGTCAGAGAAGAAAGGTGCAGTATTCTCCTTTAAACCCTTTCCTAGAATTCAAAGCTATTAAGATTGAATTTTACATCTATGTATGTGTGAGTCATTTCTGAATTCATACAAAATTTACCCCTGCAGGTATAACAAATGTCACAAGTGCTATTCACACTTGCAGTCTATTCGCGAAGCTCTGTCCAGTAAAACCAACATCTCTGGCAAAATGGGAAGTCTCTTCCGTGAGATGTCGCTAGCATTTTCCAGCTTGGATTAATAGTAAGCAATTAAGCTATTTTAAAAAAGAAATATCATACACAGTGATTACTACAACTTGTGGAATATCCACTGCTAAACTGTAAAGTATTTTCATTCAAAAAAGTGACAACAAGAGTCTAAGCTGTCTTGTTTGTGCAAGCTTTGAAAAATTACAAGATCAGATTTTATTCAGTGAAATGTGAAAGATAAGCATTAATGAAAATCAGAACAAGAAGTACTGAACGGTATCTATGATGTGACTTGAGTGGGCTGGTAGAACTGTAGAAAGATTGCAAACACTGCTCTTGATTGCACTTTTGAAGTCAGTATGTTCCTTGGGGAGAAAGCAAAAGAGGTAAAAGCGACTTTTACATACAGAGATAAAGGACTGTCAAGAATAATTTTTGTAACTTGGGTGTCAAATGAAAAGCAAAAGTTACTGGTTTCTTTGGTAGGCACAGTTTTACTGCAGAGAATGGTTTGAGTTCAGAGGTGGCCACATTAGCACACCTGGCAAATTTCCGCCATGTCACAAGTTGTGATGTTTAAAAACCCATGGGATCTGCAGATTGCTTAGCTGAACAGTGCCAGGGAGTTTCAATCATTTAAGTGGAATTAGGAAGCTTGATTATAATAATTTATTGTGTTGTGTTTGAGTTTGGGGTTAGCTCTCTTTCCTTTCAATTGGCACTGGAACAAAAAGCGTTCTCTCCAGCAGGTTGTATTTTTCTACTTTGATATTTTTTGAAAATCGACTTTTGGTTTATGACTAAGAATTATTTCAGTTTTATTGTTATTTAAGCTTGGATAAAGAGTATAAATTATTACTTTCAATCACATATTTACTTAAATTTCATTAATTAAAGAAGTCTCTGGGGCAGATCCAGGATTTAGTCAAGGGGGGTTGGGAGAATTGTCCCCCTCCGGAGGGGTCCGAGATGTTGAAAATTAGGTCTTCGGGAACATGATTTCCAGCGTTCTGAGGGAAAATTTAGGGGGTTCAACCGAACCACCCCTGGATCCACCCCAGAGTCTGCGCTCTCCAAAATGAAGAGTGGGTACTGCGATTTAAAGGTAAATAGAAATGTGTTCCGTCATTTGGAGAATTCCTCTTAGGGGGAGGGGAGGGAAGGGTAGTCATATTCTCCTCTCCATCCCCCTGCTCTCAAAACACTCCTGTCCCCTAGGCTTTTGCTCCCTTGGCCACCCTTCATTTAAGGTCCATTTCTTTCAAACATATCCACTCCCATGTGGTTTCAAAACTAAACAACAAGATCAGAAAGCTCAACTAAACTGCTCAGTTATCTTTTTGCTCAAATGGTAGCACTTAAAAACTAAGGTTTTCATGTGAAAGCCACTTTTTACAGAATTAGCATTGCATCAAAGTTCTCCTTAATAACTTTCAGCATTTTGTTTATATTACCAGGCTTAAAAATTAAAAGCCTATTAATAGCTTTCATTGCACTAGATTTGACTTAAGAAGAGGAAATCACCATTACTTAACTTGAAGGAAGTATCAGACAATTTCAAAATCCAATACATTTTTTTAGACTATGAATTCACAACACACTGCTTCTGGGTCAACTTTGCAAGTCAAAACCTTTTCCCTTTTCCAATCAGAGATGTTTAAAAATAATGTTCATGCATTTTATTCAAAATTTAAGTGAAAATAAGCAATGATTCTTTGTGTCCATGCATTATTGTTTGCTGAATATTGCTTAATAGTTAGCCTGTACATAATGGTTTTCCTTCAAATTGTACTTAGAATGTTAACTCTTTTAGTTTGCATAGTGTGAATACAATCTTATATCTTTGTGTTTGTAACTTGATTTAAAGTGACAAAGTTAATAGTAACACTAAATAAAGTATGTTTATAGAAATCTCATGTTGCTGTTCTTATTTTGATAGTTGGAATATAATGTACTCCAACAATTTTTTCACCATGGATGTGTTAGAGCTGTTTTTGTTTGTGTGGTTGGTTTTTATAATCATCATTCATTGTGTTTCAAGACCTGCATGTGAAAGCAAATTGAGAAGTGACCAGTATTAGTTTTGTTAATATGCAGGGAACAGACAAATCATGGTCTTAAGTAGCTCACTAACATGTGTAACTTCTCTTTGGGAAATCAATACCGAGTTCAGTGAAATATTTGCCTTGATGAAGGGCTAAATAGTTATTACTGAGTTAATAACTAGAGACAGACTCTCTTAAGTTTTAAAAAAACTGCTGAGTAGAGGGGGATTTGACTTGTAAATTTTTGTTACTTATGAGGAAATGTGTTTTGGATTGAAAGAAAAAATACTAACCAATACTTGGATATTACCATAAACACTTCACAGAAATTTTAATAGAGTATTGCAAACATCCAGGATTTCATAGGTTTTGCTTTACTTTGTGCTGTGATTGGTTCAGAAAATTGCCATCACCCCCCCCAACCAATCAGGTGCAAAACTGAAACTAATTGTGACCAAGTCACTCAGTTTTTCCTTCAGGATCACAGCATATCTTTTACCTTGTGTTTTCCTAGGCTTTTTGTGGTATTTGCCTTTCTTTTGATTGGCCATTGAGATGGCTTTCCTTTTCTTACACCCAACTGAAATATGCACTGTCCTTCCAAAGAGCCCTATTAAGGTAGGATGTTTCCTGCCTCCCCATTAACACCAGTTATCATAAGTGCAGCTTTCTCTCCCCATCTTTTCCTTCAAGTCATCATCAACATCAAAGTGTACTTAAACAATACCCATTCAGGGCGAGTTTACAAAGTACTCGCTACACAGTTCTTTATTTCCTTCATGAAATTCTTTCCAGACAAAGGGAATGAACATTGGATTACATACAATCAGGTTGCCTCAGTTTCCCCCCACCCCCATCCCACTTTGTGCCATTTTGACTTTTCTTTTCATTCAGCTGTCACACCTTTGAAGCCTAACACTGTTCAAGGCAGAATGGGGCTTATGCGAGGTGGGAAAGGAAAAATTGTGCTTGAGAAATCAGCCTTTACTTCTCTGAACTATTGCAGAGGATGCTATCTGTGCTGGAAAAGTGCAGTTCATTCTGGGAGAGTGGTTGTGTGTTAAACCAAAGATTACCCATGGATAAAATCTGTCACACCTTTATTAAGAGATAACCTTTTTATTCTTGGAATTGCATATATTGCTTAAACAGGTCAATTGCGCTGACATTGAACGAAATCTTTACAATAGCTTTACAGTTTAGTTTAACATTGGTTATGGTAGTTTGGTAAAAACAAAATAATGTCAAATGCGCTTGAATCTATTAATAATACTGCATATTTAAAAGCAGAGTAAATAATCACAGCCTTTACTCTTGAAGAAACTTTTTGCTCTTTGAAGGCTTTAAATAAATGTTAAATAAGCTAAATAAAATTTTAAATTCATATATTATAATTATTAAGGCTGTCTCTTGAGCTTCCAGACAAACTAGAGGACACATTGTGTTAAGCCTGAGTTTCATGTCAGAGTGATAGCTAATCACTTAAAATAATTTTTTTGGGGGGCATCCCAGATTTTCTACAGTGTATGGAGATAACTATAGAATGACCTTGACAATCTTAGCACAAGAAACCAGGAATGCATTAGACATTCCTTGCAACCTGCGAGGGTTGTTCACAACTCTTGTTTTTAGCCCTTTCACTTCCCAGGACCTAAAAAGAGAATTCTCCCAATGGACGACTGTATGTTTCTTTGTTGCTAGTCATGATAATTTAAAGTTACATCCAAACAGTTTTACCTAGTTGATAATTTTCCAAATTCATGTCACTAGTTTCCATGTGTGCTAAAATTTTAAGGTGAATTCACTTAACTGATCACTTTGTGGTGAAAGGGTTCTAGGCCAAAAATTGGGGACAGTTGGGGAATAAGAAAACTTCCTTTCATCTGAGACTTTTCCTGACACAAAAACCATGCCTAAGCAATGAAATGAGTTGCTCCTTTTTAAGGGCAACATTTTTATTCTTGTCTGGTGCTCTGGTGTAAGAGAAAAGCCCTCTTCTATTTTAAAATCTACAGTCTTATAATGAATTACAACAGAGCTGCAGAAATTTGCTGGTGTACACACTTTACAGTTGTACTATCCTAAGAAATTGTAATTTTTTTAAAATTACAAGCTCTTCTGATTAGTTGGGGTATAATTTGAACAGAGGCTGTGATAGACATGGATTAGACACTAGATTAATTGTGAGATATATTGTATGAAAACACACAGTAATTAGTAAAGACACAAATACTGCTACATGAAACCTAACAGAGAATTGCAATATTTAGGTCTGACTAAGTACTGATAATACTGTTGTAAAAAAATAAAAGGATAATTTTGCTACATCCACCCCACCTTATCATGCTCAGCATGAATGTTTAATTGTGTTTGCTTCACTCTTGCAAAGCAAAACTCAGAGGTTGTAGCATGAGCAGTCTAAGGATGACTATATAGTTACATAATGAATCCTTCAGTAACAAAAACTAGATGTGACAAAATAAAACATCAGTAGAACATGAAACTTGCTCTAGTTCCCAATAATTAGGATTTCTTTTTCTGATGGGAGCCTTAATGCCCACAGATGCAAGAAAGTAAAGAAAGAACAGTTCTACCTTCTTATATCTGCCAACATTTCCAAGTCTGCTGCTTCCCACATAAAAAGAAATAGTTATCCCTGGTTACAGTGCTCCAATCTGTTTTTATCTGTCATTAAGTTGATTGGCAGTGGTGAATAGATCAATGAACATAACTTTGACAGTGCTATCAACATTCAAATCCAACTTTCTGATCTTTTTTTTTTTTACTTCATGGTATCACTAAAGATCCTTGGCGAATTTCATTATGATAACAGAACTAAATAAACTATATTTGACTATAGGAACAGTCCTACTTTGTTCTAGAATGGCTTGATCTCTTCCTGCAGTACTTTTCCTTTCATTATATCATAATATATATATATTTATAATACTTTTACAGAGCCATCTGACCCTAATGTTTCTTGTTATTTTTGAGCCCCCGATGAGGAGTGACCTCTTAGTTTTGTCTAAAACATAGAAAGAAGAATACATCAGATTTCTAGTAAAACAAAGTTTGGTTTCATTGCTTAACCCTCAACGATTCCACTATCAATCACAGTGCAAATTTTCACCACCAGGCTCCAAACATTTTTGTACATATCCAAGTGGGATGGGAGAATTTGCATAGCTAATGTAGTCAGTATATCTTACTTATCTACCACCAAATTGTTTAAGGAGCAAGCCATTGAAATTTGGTATTTTTGCGAAGTTTTATAAAACCTCATGGCTTTAGGGCAATTCAAAATAGAAAGAAACATTTAGACATTAGTACAAAGGAGAGAAAATGTTCTGAAATTCTTGTGATACAATTTATCAACCCTTGAACTTCTGAGATCTGACGTAGTAAAATCTCCCATTCACATTATGTACATTTTATTGCAAATCAGTATAGAGAATTTGGTGCTTCATCCAAGTGACACCTTCTGACTGATGAGTTTTTCACTTCTTGTCACCTGTGTGCTGTACAATGTACTGATTTTGAAAGGAGAGGTTACTTATCGGTCATTTCTTAGAGTTAAGGGGATGACAATGCAAACTTTTCTTCAGCAGCCTAGAAAAGAGCTTGTGGGTGTTTTATCATCTTTATAAATACCAGTCAAACTTATCATGGCCTTCTATGCAGCTGTTCCCAGATATGAAAAGCTTAGGAACATCTGCATTGGAGGTTATGATGAACATAGGGATGATTTATTATAGTTCACAAAGCAACCAGGTGGACCATCAGACATGGTTTGATGCTACTCTGGTTTAAAGATTTAATGAGAGGAAGTGACAATTCACAGACCAAATGTCCACACACTCCTGTCTAGTGCCTTCAGCAGGGGTAATCTAATTGTTGCGACAAGAGGTTCTTTTAAATGCTCACTTATTAGCGACCCTTTTTTCTAAGGAGATGTAAATAAGTGTCTGGTAGTAAGCCACCGTCATCATGATTTAAAGGACATTGGACTCATCAAACTAATAAAATATATTAAAAATCCAATAAATAAAGAAACAAGAAGAGTACAAACCACTCGTCATCATTTACCTATAGTTGATACGTTGGTGGCTACTTGCCTCAGACTCTTTCCGTTGCTGTTCTTCCCTCCACTGTCTTTGTCTTTCTTCAAATTCAGCCACTCTTCTCTTGGCTTGTTCTAATGTATCTTTCATTACTTTGTCTTCAGACTATAATGCGGCATAATGAAAGGCAAATCAATGAGGGGGTCCTTTTTTTTTTTTTTTTTTTTAAAAAAAAGGTGTTTCCTGCACTGACTTAACATAAACTAGACAAGACCTAGGCTTTGCTTTAGAGTGAGGATTTAGGTGAAATTTGTGGTTGAATCTTGAAACTGTCCTAGTTTTCCTTTGGCGTTTAATGACTTTGTTCTATGATTAGTCCAGACCCACATCATTCTTTCAGCCAATAGGATACAAAGCTTAAAACAAAGCACCTTTTGTCGCTAATAGTTTCCTTCGCTTGCCTTAGTAAGGCTTTGTTACTCTTAAAAAATTTTTACTATCAAATTTGGTTTTCAAATCAAAACATGCCTACTATGAAGTACTTTTTTCTAATTGGAACATCAGTGGTTAACTGTTGCAAGGAATTTGCAGAATGTTCAGTTTGATACCAACTTAAGTGGCGCATTAGATATATTGCCCTGCGGATCAGGATATAACTACAACGTCAATGACATTTTCAGGAATTCATTGGATAATTTGTCAAATCATCAAATACCATACCCAACCAACAGCCTTTAACATTCCTTATCACATTGTAATACATTAGTTCTTGGTCTTCTAAAGGAAGACAGCTTGACTTGGAAGCCATCGTAGTAAGGAGAGAATTGTGCCACAAACATTTGTGTAAAATGGGAAACAAAAATTCTGCTTTAGCTACAATAATTATTTTTTTTTCTATTCCTTTCACCTCTAGATTGTAAAATCAGTTCTGCACACTGTCTACCGTACATTTTTGATAATTTTAGCACTAAAAATCTGGTGTTAAATCAAGTAATAAGCTGCAAGTGATTTCCATCTTTCTTCAAATCACCTTTACACCTGAAATTATTTCAATTTATTAAAAAGAATCTCCTTTAAGGTTACCACAGAGAGCGAAAAGGTTATAAATTCCCCAAGTCAACAGATCATATGCCCTCTTCAAAAAGTGAAGTGGCAGGGGGTTTGTGATTTTTCACATTTCAAATAAAACCCCAGGAGTCCAAAATGTAGAAATGTTGAATGAATTATGTGATAAATACTATAAACAGAGCTCCTTTCAAATTCAATTGTTTTGCAGTGGGCATGAAGGCAATGATTTATCATTTCCTAAGACAAAAACATCATTGATTCTTTTTAACTAATCAGCGTACTCATGAATAATAGCAATAATTAGCTTGTGTTATCTGTATCATCTCACCATCAAAAGGAGGTGTATAATTTGAGGGTCTATTTTTAGCGACCCCTTTTCCTGTTTATCGGCCCGTTTGGTCTCCGCATGTGACTTTTAGAAAAGACACGCAATGTGATATTTGTGAGAAAGAAACCTTACTATTATGATTGAGAATTCTAAAACATTAAAATTACTTAGTTACTAGGAGAGCTTTAAATGACTTAGCAATAAATTGTTGCAAATAATGCAATAAGGCAAACACCTGGAATATTGAGTATTTTAATTTTTTCTGGGAATACTGCAAGATAAACTTACAATATTTAACTAGTTACAGTTTAAAATAAATCTAAAAAAGTGAAATACATCCATATGTGTATCAAAACCAACAAAGCACTTCACAAGAATCTTTTCAACAAGTATCAATATTAAGTTTCTCCTAACATATTACCAGAAACTGAGACTCATAGGTAATGAGAATTAATGAATTAATCAGGCAAATATTAGCCAAAGACAAAGCTGCACCATTGTGAAATGTATCCCGGTGATAAAGGAGAATTTGCTTGTTGATATATTTATTAAAACTTACTTTAGCTTTATCCTCGTCAAATTCCAAATATCCAGCTCCGTCAAGTCTTTGCAAGTCAATCCATCCTTTCCAAACGACACATACTCCATTCATTATAAAACGGCTTTTGATGAAGACCTGTTGAGATCGACCGGGCGCATTTATTCTTAGAACGGAAATTTACGGATTTAACGGTTAAGTGATCACAAAAATTATCTAAAATAAAAAATTTCTAATTCATGGCACGTTTTCTTTTAAAATTCTTTCTCCTCCAAAAAGAACTAAATAGATTTTCACACCGAATTAATAATAATAAGGTGACTAAATTGCGTTTCAATGTTGATGCTGTCAACTTGTTGTTGTTGTTGGAATTTCTTTATCTCGCAAAACACGATGTGGAATTTCTGTTATACTCGTCGTTTCAGCCGTGTCATTACTCGATTGAAATGTTTGGCATAATTAAGTAAGTGCTTGCACACGCAAACTTGTATTTTGCATTGTTACCAATAAATTTCCGTCACGAGAAGAACAAAGTTTTTCAGCGAGTTTGTGGTAAATTAGGAACATCAAAAATTGACAAACGCTCGTTACTCGTAATCTGTTTCAGAATATTTTCATTCTCTAGCGTAATTTCACTTGTGACAAAACAAAATAAGTAAACAATCGGACTATTATTGCGTCCTATTCAGGAAGAAATCAAATACTTGTACGTCAAATCACACTGAGTGATACACCTGTTTTTAAATTAATCAAAGTCGGAATTTCACATCGCTATATAGCAAAAATGCCGCAACAAAGAATATTGTTCGTGAACAATCCTCTAAAGCGAGCAGCGATCGTGCGAACTCGGTCACGAAAAACACTCCGTATTCCGCCTTCATCATTCAAAATATTTTGAAACTTGATATTGTTTAGCTGACAAATTTTCAATTTAGTAGGTAGACACAAGTACCTCCAATAGATTTCCTATATTTTACCGCCATAATCTGTTGTTGTTTGAGGTTGAGTTACACTCAGGGGCTAAGGAAAGGCCCTTGAGGAAATCACGAATGAAATAAACTTTTCCGACACGAAATATTTCATCGTCTTTAAAGCTATGAAAATAAACAATTTACAAAAGGAAGGTAACTCTTATAATTCTGTTTAATTACCCTGAAAAATAAACTGCCATGATATTGAATATTCTCGAATTTACGTCTGCTTGTCGTTTGCGATCATTCTAGCCATTGATATCGCCCATTCACGCAATCGCGCAATTAACTGTCTCGCTTCGAACTTTAATCTCCCTCTGCAAAATAATTCGAATCACTGTCAAAGTGATTTTGGGTGCGGAAAGCTAAGTGTGCCAGAACAGCCGACCGAGTCATCTCGAATAAGAAAGCCATTCAAATGCTGAAATGTTAGATTGTAAATAATTAATTTGTCAGCACGTGCAATTATCCAGGGTTGCCGACAACCTCGACTTCCCACCTCAAATACTTCGGTAAATCTTTCAGAAGATTGTTGTTCGATCTTCTCAAGGACTTGTTTCCTATACGATCGGAAATTCCTTATGCCGAAAGACGCATATGCTACGATTGTACGTGAAAGCGAAGTTATCTTCAAATGCATAATTAAGTCACAACCTGCTGCAAGTAGCTTTAATAGCCAGATGTTTATACACAAATAAAACTTTCAAAAAGAAATCAAGTCAGTCGCCTACCGATACAGGGGCGCAATTTATTTTTCGTTAAAGGCGTAATTTCCCCACGTTATTCGGCCAGCCCACTCGAAAGGGCTGTGAAATTCTGGCGCAATTCCAGCCTTGCTGCTGAATTTGACTCTAAAATATCGAGCCGAGAGGAAAATCCAAGAAAATATTTAGATTCCACAACATGACGGCGATTTAATAATATTAAGTTCTAGTTACAAGATTTTTAGTGCAATTATTGGCTCGTTTTCAAATATTCCTCCTTAAAGTGAAACCTTAAATCATGTGGAACTTTCATTTACCTTTCCTGGCTCCCGATCAAAGTCAAGAAAATCCTTCGGAACTGTTCCATCTTCTCCTTTTGGAAACTGCAGTGTGAAATTCGTCCCAGATGACACGAAGGCCTGCATCGTTTAAAAGAATTATTCAAGGGTAATAATTTGATAACACGGAACACAAGAACACCCTCACGCAAAGAGGACTTCGTGATGATCTTCACGAAAGTTTTCGTCAACTTCATCAAGAGCAGTTTTTTAACAGGCTTACCACGGTGGCATGTCCATCACGAGCTTCTGTTTGAAATCGGACGATGCGTTCCTCGTGCGATCTGTCTCTATACCCAGTATATTTGATCTGAAAATAGATTGAATCGATTTAATGGCATCGTGCTGCAGTGGCCATGTGAGTTTACAACTTTGTCATGTACGTTGAATTGTCAAATCACCTCCGTCTCCCGTGACATCTTCCGAAATAAATCGTCATTTTCGAACTTTTGCCTTTGCTCCGGCACTACCCGCGGCATTTTGTCCAGTGACGATGAAGTTATCTGCGGTCTTCGCAACTTTCGAGTCTTGCCGCGCAAAACGAGTGAACTCAGTTAATGCGTGTCCGATTTTCTCGAAATTTCATACCTCTCATGACGGAACTTCCGTTTGGAAGCGCTGAAAACAACCCTATGCTCTACAAAGAAAGAAACATGACAAGTTATTGTCAACACAATGCACTTTGAAGTAACTCAGCTCCAACGGTGATTGGCTAAAATGGACGCTGCAACAATTCTGGCACGCGTAGCCATTCGCTTGTAACTAATTGATCCATATTTGGGGACCCTGTCATACTGAAAACAACTGCCCTGAAACAGTGAACTCACCGGGCGTCAACCCGAGCTTGTTTCCTTTCATTTTGAATACGTGCTTTACGGTATTGAAAGCTCCTTTATCCTATTAAGTGCTCTGAAAATAAAACTACTGCGGGGTTAAGGCGTTCATAGATTTGTTTGAAGCATTTAAACTTGTGAAAAATTTAAATGGGTGAGGCTTGTTTCTTTTTTTCGGACGTTACCGGAAGTGGATGTAGACTGAAAGTCGTTTCCGGTTTTTCATGATGCAGCAATTCAAAAGGCTTTGAATTGCTTTGGGTTTTTATTTCATTTAGGTTATTCATCTCAGCTGGGGCAAAAATTCCTATTGCTGGAACGGGGGACAGAAAATGTTCAATTTTCTTTGTTTGATTGGTCGTACGTGATCGTAATGCGACCTCGAGGTATTATTCACCTGACACTTTTGGCGATGCGTAACGCGTTCTCGTGAAGAAACATTTTGTTTCGCGGCAAGCGGCAACGTCAATATTCTGGAGAATTTGGGATGCGATTCATTTGGAAAAGGAAGCTACCAAGGAGGCGAAGATTACTGTGCTTCACTCTTCTAGCTATATTAATCTACATTTTTTATCAAATTGTCATTTCTTTCAACGATGAAAATATAGAGTTTGACAGGCAGTGGACCTGTGAAGAACTTAAAGCGAGAGATCGCTTGGCAGAGCTGGTAAGTATCTGATGTGATGCTTTTCAAAGGGAAGTGGCTACAAATATCGTAAATTCAATTACGTTAATGATCGACAATAGGAATGTCGCGTGGTTTCAAATATAAATTAATCTAGTGTGACCACTGCCGGTCGGTGGGATGGTGTCTTTCATTAAAAACTTTTTTGGTAAAACGAGAAGTTTAATTCAATGCGGAAGTCCTTGTACATATGATACTTGCGAAACTCGTCGTTAATCGTTATGAAGTCTCTTTCTTTCACTGCTCCGTAATTCCAAATGAATCGGATCGAAGGATTTTTTCACAACACGAAGCCCTTCGATATACTGTAATCCGCTAAGAAATCTGCGATACTCTTACGGACGTGATTATTTAGCTGTCATTTGTCTGATGTCTTCGTGAATCTTATTTCGAACCACCCTTCCTTTTCCGAGCTATTTTCTAAGATAATTACCTTACTCCTCAATTTTTTTTTTTACATCTCTGCAGTTTGGTTCGTTGTATGCTCCCTTTTCTTGAATTTTCTGCACCTCTCCATAATTCTGAAATCTTCTTGCCATTAAGAAAACCTACTATAACCTCCCCTTCAAGACCCTTCCATTCTGAGAGGTTGAAATAGTACTGTATTGTAATAATGATATTAACAAAATGAAGATTTATGTCCAGTTCAGTTAAATGATATTTTCCTTTTCAAGTGCAAAGATTTTATCAATGGTAACACCGGGGGGAATCTCTGTCATGACTTATGCACAAGTGGTGAACTTGTCGTCCAAGATTGTCTTGCGCATAAAAACACCACCGTCGTATTTTCTGGCACTTGGAGAAGAAATGATGTTGTATTCAAGACAAAGAGACGTCCTCACCATGTTGAAAAGCTAGAGGATCTACTGTCCATTGGAGTAAGTGGTAAGTCTTTTAGATGAGTTTCTGACTAAGTATATTAAAAAGTTTAAAAAGTCTAAAAAGTCGAATTCAAATTTTTCTGAGGACTTGAAGGGAAAAAAATTATCGTTTTTAAAGAAAAAATGAAAATTGTTTTCAAGGTTTTAAACTAATTTTAAGGTATCTTTACTTTCATATTCCTTTGGTTTCTATATTTTTTTAAGGTTTTCACTCTTTTTTGATGTTAGGAACATATTTCAATTTTTATTCATAATGTACATATAAAATTTTTAGAGTTTAATAAAATTATCATTGCTATTAATAATAAAAAATATTATTATTATTACTATTATTATTATTATTGGTAGTAGTAGTAGTAGTAGTAGTAGTAGTAGTAGTAGCAGTAGTAGTAGTAGTAGCAGTAGCAGTAGCTGTAGCAATAGCAGCGGTAGCAGTAGTAGTAGTAGTAGGAGTAGCAGTAGCAGTAGTAGCAGTAGTAGTAACAGTAGCAGTAGTAGAAGTAGTAGTAGTAGTAGTAGTAGTAGCAGTAGCAGTAGCGGTAGCAGTAGTAGTAGCAGTAGCAGTAGTAGTAGTAGTAGTAGTAGTAGTAGTAGTAGTAGTGGTAGTAGTAGTAGTAGTAGTAGTAGTAGTAGTAGTAGTAGTAGTAGTAGTAGTAGTAGCAGTAGTAGTAGTAGTAGTAGTAGTAGTAGTAGTAGTAGTAGTAGTAGTAATAGTAGTAGTAGTAGTAGTAGTAGTAGTAGTAGTAGTAGTAGTAGTAGTAGTTGTAGTAGTAGTAGTAGTAGTAGTAGTAGTAGTAGTAGTAGTAGTAGTAGCAGTAGTAGTAGTAGTAGTAGTAGTAGTAGTAGTAGTAGTAGTAGTAGTAATAGTAGTAGTAGTAGTAGTAGTAGTAGTAGTAGTAGTAGTAGTAGTAGTGGTAGTAGTAGTAGTAGTAGTAGTAGTAGTAGTAGTAGTAGTAGTAGTAGTAGCAGTAGTAGTAGTAGTAGTAGTAGTAGTAGTAGTAGTAGTAGTAGTAGTAATAGTAGTAGTAGTAGTAGTAGTAGTAGTAGTAGTAGTAGTAGTAGTAGTAGTTGTAGTAGTAGTAGTAGTAGTAGTAGTAGTAGTAGTAGTAGTAGTAGTAGCAGTAGTAGTAGTAGTAGTAGTAGTAGTAGTAGTAGTAGTAGTAGTAGTAATAGTAGTAGTAGTAGTAGTAGTAGTAGTAGTAGTAGTAGTAGTAGTAGTGGTAGTAGTAGTAGTAGTAGTAGTAGTAGTAGTAGTAGTAGTAGTAGTAGTAGCAGTAGTAGTAGTAGTAGTAGTAGTAGTAGTAGTAGTAGTAGTAGTAGTAATAGTAGTAGTAGTAGTAGTAGTAGTAGTAGTAGTAGTAGTAGTAGTAGTGGTAGTAGTAGTAGTAGTAGTAGTAGTAGTAGTAGTAGTAGTAGTAGTAGTAGCAGTAGTAGTAGTAGTAGTAGTAGTAGTAGTAGTAGTAGTAGTAGTAGTAATAGTAGTAGTAGTAGTAGTAGTAGTAGTAGTAGTAGTAGTAGTAGTAGTGGTAGTAGTAGTAGTAGTAGTAGTAGTAGTAGTAGTAGTAGTAGTAGTAGTAGTAGTAGTAGTAGGAGTAGCAGTAGCAGTAGTAGTAGTACAGATATATGCCAAAATTTCTAATAATGCATGTGCATGGCTATCTATAGAGGGCTGATAATCCAACCAGGAGGACTCAACCAAGTATTAACTCTCCAAGTGGTGTCATCCTGATCAAGGCAGAAATTAAAAAGGTCCATAGAAATATGTTTTGGTTGTCTGCATGCTCTTCCATCCTGAATGTAGGACCATCTTAGTCTGCCAAGTACACCATCAAAACTAAGTACCCTTTCACCTCCTTTCCCCTCGCTTATCCATCTTGCACAGTGCTGCAATAATACCACTGATTATTGCAGCACTGATTACAGCAAAGAAAAAAATTGGGAATCATTTCTGATGAAGGGCTAATGCTCGAAACATCAGCTCTTTTATTCGTTATGGTGGCCAATTTACAATTTCAACTTAGTTGATATAACCATTTCTTACCTAGCTCTCTTCCCAAACCTCACTCTGATACCATGGTTACTAGGTGAGTGCCTGAAACAGGTTACCTCCTCCCTCCAGCCCCACCCACCATCTCTCCCCAATCCATTATCTCTGCTTAAGTTATTTTGTTAATTTAAAAGTTGAATTCGAAGTGAGCATTTTTTTGTCAATAAACAGATGATGAACCCACTGCTGGAGATGAAAAACTGTTCAAAAACTTTGTACTTCGTGTGTTTGAACATGTACAGAATGAATTGTCCTTTTTTAGACTAAAAGACATATTAAATATATCTGAGCAACGGGTACTTGAAGTTCTTTGGCATCCACATCCATTAGGAGAACTTACCTGGGCAGACATGTCAAGTTTGTGGTTGTTAATTCAAAGAGATGAATTCATAAAGTTACAACTTTTAAAAGAGATGAGACACATTCCAAGAGTCTATGGATTCTGTGGCAGCTTTTATGCTGTAGAGAAGGTGGAAACATTAGAAGAGTTTTCATTCACCCCATTCAAAAGGCCAATGCCTTGGAAAAAACGTTTAAATGCTGCTCTGAACTTTCTGGATCTTTCAGAAGAATTTACCAAGACACCTTTGGGACAGCTACACCACTGTGACATACAACCTGGTAATTTTGGTGTTGCCAAAGATAAGAGAGTTGTAGCCCTTGATATTGACTCTGTGTTTGCAACAAAACAAATGGAGGATTTTCTGGAACAACCAACTTGTGAAAGTAACAAGCAGTGTGACTTTTTTGACTGTATGTCTGCTTGTAATACAACAGAACATAAATGTTCAAGAAAAATTCTCACAAATAACCTTCAGGTAAGATTTAGGAAGGTATAGAGGTTTTGCACAGCAGCCATGTTGCATGGCAGGAACAATAGATTGTTTTTCCTGTGGGAAAAATTTTCTTTCTTATGCAAAATAGTTTCATTGTTCCTGCCATGCAACATGGCTGCCATGCAAACCCTCTATTATGTATTATATCTCACATGAATAAAGCTTGATCAAGTAGCCTGGAATTAAACATCAACCAGACCTGGCAATTTAGTTTTCAATTGGCCATAACATCATTTCCTCAAACACCAGCAAGACCAAGAAAGATATTATAACCCATACATTGTAGAAAAGCCAAATGCGCACAAATACATCTGGAACATTTTAATTGCTACTGATGGTTTTCACTAAAGAGGTTTCAGTAACTGTCAAGTCTAGTTTGTTAACTTTTATTTTAAATGAAAGTTTATTTACAAGGGACTCTTAAATGTTGTCATTGTCAATAATTTAAAATGTCACTGGAGAACAACATACACAAATTAATACTGATTACACGATTATATCATGATTTCTGTTCTATAAAGTCACTACACAAGAAAGGCAAGTGTTCAATATGTCAGCTTTTTTAGATTTCTTAATTCCTCATTGTGCTGGGGTGGATCCAGAGTTGGTTTGGGTGGTTCGGTCGAACCCCCTAAATTTCCTCTCAAAATGCTGGAAATCATGTTTCCTAAGACCTAGTTTTCAAATCTCCAGGGGGAGCATGCCCTCGGACAATTCTCTGAACCCCTCTTGACTAAATCTTAGATCCGCCGCAGTAGTGGTAAATTTAATTTAGGTTATATTCACCTGCATGATGCACATTAACCAACATTATTTCCACTTAAAAAATTTAATAAATTGCAGATCATCTGTCGAGATATTTTGCTGTCACATTGGGGGCAGCCTGGATTACTGCAGAGAGCTCCCATCCATGCTCAGAACAAACTCTCACCTGTATTGTCAGACTGTGCATCAGACACAATGCTACCATGGAAGCCAGGAAAAATAGAAAGAATATATAGGAAGCTCAAAAAAATTCTCTCAGAGGAACTTGAGTCCAACTAGGACTGAAAAAGGACTCATGTTTCTTTATTGGAAAAAAAGTAAAATCGATTTAGCTAGGCTCAGAAATTGGATTGAAGAATTGAAATTAGGTTCATTTGGTCTGTATACATGTCAGGGTATTTATCAAAGAACAAATAGTATTAGCATCTAGGTACTGTTTAAAAAAGAAATATTTAAATTAAGGCATTTAACACACACCTTGTTCAGAAATGAAATATAATTTGCATTTTGTAAAGATGTATCGATACCTTTCTAACTCTTTTTCCCGTAATTTGTTGATTGTGTTTTACTTCCTTTCGCTATGTCAATTTTATGGCAGCATACCTGTAAAATAGCTCAGAAGTAGCTTCAAGGTAAAATGTTCTCCCCATGTTCAAACTGTTAACCAGAAAACATACCTTAGTTATAATTTACTTACATGTACAGGTAAATAACAAAGGAAATAAAACAAAATGAGGAATATTTCAAACTCAGAGAATCACACAGTTTATGGACCACCATACAACTAGTGTTGCTTTTAATGATGGAAGTGTAAGTTCTTCAAGATAAAAAAATGTTTAACAAATTTATAGGTCAATCATTGAGCCATTGGATATCACCTGACAACAAGGGAAATAAAAGAGAAATAGAGGATATTACATGGCCGCGCGGGGATACGAATTTTATCTTCGAGTGCTTAAAGTATCTCTCACTTGTTCGCTGCGCTCACTCATGAGAGATACTTTCAGCACGAGAAGATAAAATTCGTATCCCCAAGCGGCCATGTAATGTTCTGTTTATTATATAGATACTGATGAAATTTCCACATAAAAGACAACTATTTTTATTCATTTTCGAAACAGCAATTGGGTACTTATGTTGGTAACCATGGCCACACAAATATCCTCACACGTGAAAGATAAAAATAGTATCTTCACTGCGCGCGGTGAAGATATGATTTTTTAGTAAAAGGAGAAATCCTGGTATTTCATCAGTATCTATATAATAAAGCCGCGTACTCAATAAGGTTAAAAGACTCTTAAAAGAGTTATTAGAATAGGCTTTTCTTGAGAACAAATTGCAACAAAACAACAGTTATCACTGACAATAATACTGGAATTAAAAAGACCTAATTTTCTAACTTCGTTTCACACTGAACATTGCTGAAACTTAATGTAAAAGGCAACTGAATACATCAAGAAGGACAGACTGGTAGTTTGAATTTGAGTAATTATTGCGCCAAATGTCTTTCAATGATTTTTGTTCTCTGTAAGTTACTTTAAAAAATTCAGCCCACCATACATTAATTACTATGAATAGTAGAACAAGTTGTTAGCAATTCTTAAAACATCAACAATTGGCTGATAGTTGTAACTTTTCTATGGGATAAACGATTGTAAACAAATTGATTCCAACATATTACTTGTTAGTTGACTGTGGACCAATTTTGTCAGTTTTCTGATACAATTTCAGCAATCAATAATCTTTGCAGTTGATATCATTTCTAGTGACATGTTGGCGACACATCTGTGACATGCAGGTAGCACACTGGATGAAAATTTTGAACAGAACTTCTTTCTTATCTTTTTAGTGTGGATTAGATCAATATCATTTCCAATGCTCACCACCGAAGATAAAGTCAAGTGAAGTTAATTGTTTAGAGGAAAAAAAGAACCAGCTCAGTTGAACATGCTGTAAAAACATTTTCATAAAAAATACTCCAAAATTTAGCAAAAGATGAATTGTGTCCCCTTCCAGAGAGATTCAGAAAGAATTAACTGTTAACTTATTGTAAAAGAAATTGCACGCACTCCACTTTGTGTAATTGAATTTCTTTTGTTAGGAGTTTGTTTATCACATTGTTCACATTGGCAGTCTTGTTGATCTTGATATAGGCGCATTTCCTAACTGTGAGGACTGAGACCCACTCTGGTACAAGCTGAGACATGAATCTGATGTGTTCTTCAACTTGTGCTGTGTGAAAAATAAGAGAGAACTTGTGTCAGAGGTTAGTTGACAAAACCAAATCTGCATGACACTACAATTAGACTGAAAAAATGGTTTCAGCCTAGGAGTAAAGATTGATTGTATGGTGCAGGCAGATTTAAAAAGAATTTAATTCCCTGACAAAGTGTTAATTTTTGATAAAATAACCAGAGTTCTTCTCTCAGGGGTACAGTAAGGAATTTTTGATAAGAGGGAACGGGATGGGGGGGCTTTCAAAATTTGATTGAGAAAACACAGAATTTGTTTTGAGGCAAACTATTTCTTGAGCAAACCATGCTGACACTTCTCCAATCCCTCAGGGTTGGACCTCACACATCACTGTGTGACATGTGATCTTGAATTTTTGTATCAAGCAAGTACACGTCTTATGGGAGGGGGTGGGTAGGTGGGTTGAGACCACACCCTTCCTCTTGATCTACTACAATCACTGGACTGATAACCACTCCTGCTTAAGGTTGCCAAAATGTCAATCATTATTACCGGCAACTGGCCTATTCAGGGGTTTACAGCCTCAACCACATGATTACATCACTCAATCAAATTTAGGGCATGAGAAATTTCTATCCATGATCCAGTTCTCAGTATACCTGAAGACAAAGAGGTCTTGTAGCTGTCTGAGAGTTTCACTGTTGCATCCTCCAGGGGTATAGCAGCTTTACGCTCAGCAGAGAAGTAACTATTGACAGTTAAGGGCATACCTCGTATTTATTTGTTTGTCTGCGTAGGGCAAAACAGCACAACAATTATGAGGCCTTGGGACGTAACACACAAATGCTGCCAAACAATAGTTCCAGTAGTAACCCGATGACCAAGGGTGGTGTCCCTTAGCCACCTCTGGTTAAAAGTTATAAATGCCTAGCTGATGTTTACAAAAAGAATTATCTTTTCTGATTAAAAAGCAAGGATACGCTTTGAGTATTCTGCATAGTTCAGGAAGGCGCTCCTTCATAGCAAGCTTCTTGGCAACTAAGGGATCTTGCATCATGCTTTCCTCCATTTTCTTTGCCTCTTTCTGCCTAATCTTTGAATAGGATATCAAAACAAAAGAGAAAAGACAGAAATCAGAATACAAATCACATGAAAACAATTATCAAGCATGAGCTTATTCACTGATAGGGATTAAATAATATTATACTTGTAAATTAATTTGCAGTTAAGATGTTTCAATGTTCAATGTTGTTTAATGGAGCCATTTTCCATTGATCTTGACCATAAAGAGGGGTAATTTATATTGGATACCCAGTCTTAACATATCTGGTTATAAATTAATGCCTTTAGGGCTTCAATTTTTTTTTCTGTTATGAGGAGCTATCATCTTAGATTTTATTTTGAGTTCACATGTTGATAACCATCTTACTTAACATGCAAAGTAGTCTATAAATACCTTCTTCAGCAGATCTTCTGAAATTCCCTTCAATGCAGCCTTATTCTTCAAACTGTTTTTGTTTTGCATGTTTTCAGTAGACTTTGTCACCTCTTTCTTTTCTGGGAAGTTGTTTCCTTTGTTTGTTGATGTCAACTCCTCTCCTCGTTCTTTCAAAGCAACTGCCGTCAATGCTTTCTCAACCTACAGGAAAGAAAGCTTCAGCTGGACTGCCCCTCATCTATTGGGGATGCATAACTTTTTCTGACACTCCTAAAATCATTACAGATGGCCTTCATACAGAGATAGAGGGGTTGCCTTAAGGTACTCTGCAAATAATACCAAGCTAATTAAACCTTTAAACCCCAATAATAAGCTGCTGAAAAGGAGAATTTACTAAATAAACAAGTGTTTTTATTTGGAGATTATTTCCTTTATTCTTGTGATCTTCATGTTTGATTCAGAGGTGATATTGTAAGAAAAAATTAAATGTTAGTCACTCTTAAGGGTCAAAGAGATAATGCTTTAGAAGCTTAAAATGGTTGTAAAAAGACTCAAACGTACCCTTGGTGCTATCATGTCACATGCTTTTTCCAAGACGTCATTGGCACTGCTGTAGGTCTTCACCACAGGAGGCTCAGGGAGCATGCCTTCCTTTGCATCTGGCACTTCATCAAGGCGAAACTTTGGATGCCAGCGCACAATCTTGTCATCATCAACTGACAAAGATGGGTTAAGGTTGGAAAGGAAGTCCTTTTAACAAGAATGTTAGTAACAAAGTTACCAGTGAAGATAAAATTGAGAGTGATCTTTGCAGTAATGAACAATACTTAAAGTGTCTATACAGCCAACAGGTTTTTATAGTTTTGGTATGTATTTAACATGTAAAAAAGTATTCTTAAATAAAAATTGGATTCTGACGAGTCTTCGCCATGAAATCGAGCTTTAAACTTCCTGCTTTGGCCACGCCCATTGAAGGTGACCATGAGTTGGGGCAAAAAAAGAGATTGGGTCATGACGTCAAGTCAGGAATGCACCAAATCCCGCCAGTGGTTCATTTCACTGTTTTTTTCCAGTAAAAGTACTGCGTTTATCAAGCAAAGTAACAACATGATGCTCGAGATGCTCCTGGAGTGACATCACTCATCACCAATCTTCCTTTACGGGGTCAACTTCATTGGGTGGGTGTGGCCGAAGGGGGAACTTTAAAGTTCAATTTTAGGGTGAAGAGGCGTCGGAATCAAATTTCTTTTTTGAGAATACTTTTTTCAGGTTAAAGAGATACCAAAACAATAAAAACCCTGTTGGCCGTATAGACACTTTAAGCAGTATGGAGAGTAAAGTCTGAAAAACAGGATTTGAACTCAAGACCTCTACAATACTGGTACAGAACTATCTGAACAGAGTTCAGCCTTAATTTCACTGGTACTTGTTAAAACACCTGGATGAGGAGTCGAGGCACTGTGAGAGTAAAGTGTCTTGCATAAGAACCCAACACAATGTCCTCTGCCAAGGCACAAACCCGTTCATCAAGAGTCAAGCGCACAAACAATGTGGCCACCATGCCCTGTAACAAGTATATGCATGTGAGCAAAAACACTGCCAACTTGTTTTATTTTTTTCAAAAAAGACACACTTCCCGTTGGTTGGGGAACTGGCATGTAGCTTACATCACCAAACAGTTGACCCCATAATGATCAATGACAACAAGTTCTAGTTACAAACTTTATTGTCCTGTTAGATGAAATTGCTACACAAATTCTTGCATAAAAGTACCTGATGATGCCTCTTAGTCATCTGCAGCAGATTTTTCTGGAAGGCGTCCCTTCTTGCCAACAGCTCAGTGGCTGTCAGCGTAAGTTTGCTCAATGCTTCCTCAGTTTTTCCAAACTCTATGATCAACTCAAAGGATGAAGACCTGCCTGGACATTTGTCTTGATGGAATTCAAGGCCTCTTGGATAAACTGTTTTCATTTGTGCCAGATGTTTCTTCTCAAATCGCCTGCAAAAAATCCAAATCAAGTGACAACATAAACAAATGTTTTCCATGTCAAGGGCATTTTATAGTTTATCACATGATGACTGCCAAGGTTCTTACTGCAGTAAATGGTTTGAACCCGGGGGTAACATGTGAAGGTGTAGTCTGATCATCCGCGTGAGTGTAGTCCTGAGAAGGACTGTTGTCGGTGGTAGTGACTGACGTTTGACGTTTCGACAACCTGTGCGGAAGTCATCATCAGAGTCATCACTTGACTCTGATGATGACTTCCGCACAGGTTGTCGAAACGTCAAACGTCAGTCACTACCACCGACAACAGTCCTTCTCAGGACTACACTCACGCGGACGATCAGACTACACCTTCACAAGGTTCTTACTTTCTTGACATCTGTTGCACAGCATCCCGGAGTTTAGTAAATGTACACTTCTCCTTTCGCTGTCCCAGCAAATTCAGGATGGTGTCAGTACAGCGGAACATCTCAGCCAGCACCTTGTACTTATAGGGGAGGGGTAGAGTTGTAGAGGAAGCCTCTGACCGAGTAGGCTGAGCCAAGGCGTGGAACCTTTGATAGGCTGGAGCATCCTTCAAACTATAAATCAATAATTATTGAAATAAATTCCTCAAATGAATACAGAAACTTTGTCAACATTCCAAAATACAGCTATGCTTGTAAGAACTAAAGGGAACAAAGTTAAGCTGTCCCCAGTGACCATTTAAGAGTAGTAACAAGAAGGAAAGTAATCTGAAAGTGTCAAGACCCACTTTTTTTTAAACTTTAGGGCAAAGGTGCACTATTAGTAATTTCCCTCACATTTATACAGGACTTGTAGTCATATCGAAAAAAAAAAAGCACCACCCAGCTGATATGACTGTTTATTCTCATCTCCTGTTTCCATAAAAAAAATATGAATATTGTAAGGAAAAGTTACAAATAAAATAAATTGGAGAGTTCAGGGGTTGATGAATTTACTGTGGGGCCATGAAAATGTGGTCTTACAGATAAGCAATACATGCAAAAGAAGCATTAGGGTCCCAATAAAATGTCACTTTACGTTACACAAAAGTGAATCCACTTTCCCAAAAAGAAATTCTGAGGACAGAGCAAGCCTTTGGCTACTTGAGCAATGATAGATGCTCTAAACAGACAGTCATTTATAAAGGATAGAGTGCATAATCTCCACGCCAAATTCTGTGATACCTTTCACATTTTGACTATTTTGAGAGAGAGCTTGACTAGATGTGCCCTGTTTATGATTATTACTACCAAATTTTCATGGCTTAAAAATACATTTTCATGTACCTTTGTGAGTTTTTTTTCTCATTACTCTTCTTAACCGTAGCCATCTGATGAAGCCTTGATCCATTATCCTCAGTGCTAGACAGTGATGATTTTGGAACACTTTTCTCTAGTGATTTCATGCTCCTAATCAGTTTTCTTGCCTTGGCTAAATCCTCTTGTACCTTGTTCATTGTCACTTTGGAGTTTTCCACTGAAAGAAGAGTATATGTTGTTTTGTTTTGTTGTTGTTTTTCTCCCAACTTCTGATTGCTATGTTGATCAACTCTGAGACTTACAACGGCTAGGGAAGCCCATGCAGGGAAAGTTATACTAAAGAAAAAGTTTGCTGGTATACTTCTACATTTGGGGTGCTATTTCTCGCTCCTTTAACCTCTCCCTTCTTCCCAATATATCGAAACACTAATATGAGAGCAGATAATTTTACCATCCGATACTCACCTGAACTACTTTTCTCAGTCGCACCGGCCTGTTGCTTGACATCTTCTTTGCCTCTTCTCTTCTGACTCAAATTCACTGCTGCCCTTCCACGGCTAAGGACCATCTTGGCCTGTTCTGCGATCCATGGATCTGCTTTAATACCATCACCGACTCTTCTCACGACTGGAGGCGTTTTCGAAGGTGATGCCGTTGTTTCCTTTTCCAGAGCGTCGTCCATTCCAAGCGACTTCCCGTTACAGGACGATTTTTCCTTCAAGTGCAAAGAATCCAGTTCCTCCGCAGCGTAGAGATCATTGGATTTGTCGCTGTTTATTGGCCGTTGTGTTGTTTTAGAAGATTTCGCAATTCTTCTCCTGATCTTTGGCCTGGATTCATTCTCGCACTCGTTCGGTTGCCCCTGCAAAACTTCTTCCGAGCCTTTGTCTCTGGGAGCGCTCGTAATGGCGTCGTCTCTTTGTGTCGAGGACGCCGCCATCTTGCGCTTTCTCTGCGCATCGGTCAGTTTCCCGATCAAAGCTTCTGCAAAAGCGTGATCATCGAACAAAGAGGTGGACACAGAAACCGCTTCAGCTGGAGTCTGGATAATCTGCTCTTTCAGGATTGCCTTCCCATTTCTCTTAGAAGCTTTGGATGCTCGTGTGCTGATCTTGCTTTGAAAGGACGCCGCTTGTTTCTTCGATCTTTCACCGCGCCTGACCGCAACTTCACCCTCAATGCCACTCATATCCACTTTTCTTCGCTTTGCCGGGTGGACGTCTTCGAGGCCTTTTCTTCGAGATGCAAAATACTGGCCTAAAGTTGCCTTCTCTATCGTAGCCGATGTCATGTCGCCGCTTGCTTACAATTGATTTTGGCGCGAAATGTTACACATGGTGTTTACTATGGAATGCGCATAACAATTTGTTATATTGCGGGCTCAATAACATATTGTAAGACCCATGACCGTGCGGAGATGACCGTGCGTACTAGGATCAATCGGCATGATTTCGCGACAAGAATATGGGTTGTTAGTTTCACTTCTTTAATCACGAAATCCAGTACTGAAGACCACTCTCACGTCCTCTTGATCACACATTCAAGCTAAGAAAAAGTATGACCCTGAAGTGGGATCACGCCACACCATTGGGTTAATAAGTTGTCATTGGAAGTCCATTTGCACGCTTCATTGACTTCCTACTAAAAGCGTCCATAAATTACAGTTTCCTAATTTGGAGAAGCGGACAAAGGAGTGCTGATTTACGTAAAAGACGATAGTCTATTAGTTTATGTGACGTGAATTTAGCCAGAGGGCAAGAACAATCCCCAACTCTTCGTTGCGTGTTAGTCGTCACTTCTCTTACTTGCCTGGCATTGAAATTTGTTGTGCACCATTATCCTCAACGATCTACTTTGTCTCTACAAGTTTGTGACTATCGTTTCGATAAGGAAACTAAAACTTTCAAGAATCATGGGGCACACAGAATGGGCAATGTGGGGCAACGAACAAGGAGTGATAACCAGTGTCGGTAAGTTTGAATTTTAAGAGTTGTTTCCATCTTTCAATCGATACTGACACTTCAAAATTTTTATGTATGGACACATTTCTGAGTTGAATCACTGGTCTCGACTTTCTTCAGCGAGATGTTGTTAGTCGAGGAAGAAGTAAGCTGAATGTGTGTTTTCATCAAACCTTTGTGCGAGGTGTTCACTTTTAAAAGTATTATATTTTAAATTTCAGTCCACTTTGAAAAAGTTGTATTTTCAAAGTCGTGTTTTAAACGTTTCAGTGAAAGCCTGTCGTTACCACACGTTCATGAAGGCGGGATATCATAGAGTTTAGCGTATGTAACTCATATTTGTTACCGCCTGAGGGTACTTCGGTACTTCCTTTTCAACAAATTTAACTTTCGACAAAGTTAGAACGGTCCAGCTCACAGTCCGTCTTTTATTTTCATTTTTCAGTGTTACTAATCGGTGGCATCCTTGGAACAGCAGCCCAGTTTAATAAGTGGTATTATGGTCTATACTCGCTGTATCCTTTTTATCTGAATGCACAAGGTGGGGGGCAATATTTAGATGTTATGTGAATTATTTTTTCTATTTGACGCAAATCCACCCTCCTCAATATTCAGCGTAGTTATGTTGATTCAATTCTCATACATTTAAACTTGTTTTCTTTCCTAAGAAATATAGTTTAGATGAGCTTATTTTAGGAATATGTTTTCCATAGTATAATCTCAAATGTTGATTTTCGTTAACATACATGCACGTGCACACTAGCTATATTGATGATTAAGAAACTTCAGTACTTACGATTTAGCACTCATACTGATGATTGACTCAGTGAAAAGTGAGATCCACTTTATAAATTTATTTATCATTCTTGTTAGTCATCAGAAAGTTAACGTGTTCAGTTAGGAAAATCAAGGAAAATTGTTAACATAATATTAACTTAACGTATAATGATTTTTATGAAGATAGAGCCATGATTATGTAACTTATGTAACTGATTCTGTCAATAGTTGGCTAAACTTTTTTTCAAGCGATTTTATAGGCAAGTAGTTTTACAAAATTGTTACACTTTAACCCAATCATCAGAATTCTGGGATTTCTTGTTTTGTTAATTGAATATCCCAGAGGGAAGAGAGATAAAGGAAAAAAGACCTTGGAGAGATGGTGAGATTAGTGAACTATGTAATTGTGAATCAGCACTTTGTGTGGGGTATGGATAGCATACCAATATTATCACATGAACGTGATATAGACTACGTAATTATGCAATAGATCTTATGACTGTGATTACGTAATTTAGCTGGACGTCAACAAATTGAGTGTTAGATATATTGCAGATTGTTATCATGGCAACCAAAAAGAGTTAACCAGAGTTTTCTTTCTATACGACATAAATTGGAGTGGTTGATCCAAACAGAGTACTCTGTTGCCTCAAAATACATATTGTGCCTGAAAACCTGTTTCGGCGATAGGCCTGAGTGAAAAACAGCTATTTAAAAACAAAAAGGCCAAGCTTTTACATACTAATGAGGCAGATTTGTTAAGCTTTATTGATTGCACGTGCAAGTGCAATATTTTGATGCACATTTTTTTCAGTTCACAGTTGCATACAATTTTTGGTGTATTTTGTGTGTATTTTGTTTGGTTAATGTATATGTGAGTGGTACTGTAGTGTTAAATTAGTGCTCGGGAGATTAGGAATTGAATGATGTGGTGAAACAGTTCTAAGGTGATGAATTGTAAACTTCCCTTTTAATTGTACAGTTCCGTCATCAGTCATTTAATTGGTAATACAGTCAAACCTTGATTACTTACTGGGAACTAGCTTCACTGGTCCCATTTTTTTGTGAATATAGATTAGTCACATTTGCAATCTGTCACAACTTTTATTCCATACAACAAAGCACATAAAGTGAAACTCCTTTAGTTCTGTTTATCAAGCTATAGAACACCATAGGAACTATTTAATGTATGTGGAAAGAAAAAACAGTGTTTTGTACATTCTCTTTTAAGTTATTTTCAGTTTTATATTTGGTTCATTGATATTCATACTTTTGACTATGATGACTCAATTTTGTGGAATATTTAAAGGACAGCCCTTATGAGTTGGGATAACCAAGGTCTGACTGTACTATTAAGTGCCTCAACAGTCCTAAGCTCTAGTAACTGAAAATAATTTTAATTTTGTCATGTCTTCTTTTAGGAACCAGAAACCTTTTACACACTTTGTCGAGGTCTTTGGAATCTTTGGAAGGAACTATTGGTTTCGATTTATATTCTACATTCTGTAAGTATATAAAGATTACATGTAGAAAATTACTCCACATTCAAGTATTTCTTTCTCCAGCCCCACAAGCTAAGTACTCCTTGTACACTTGTGCATTTGTCTGAATTAATTTATGGATGCATGTTTGGTTAGATACACTCTGTTATTTATAGTTTTATTTATTCTCAAGTATCATTAGCATAGAGGTCGAAATGTCAGTAGCTTTTTTTATTTTGTTCTTCTTGAAATAACTCCTTGCCTTTAAATTAGTATATACCGGGGGGTAAACAAAGTAAAATGCATAGCTACCAATTGGCTCATCCTGGCATAATGAAGTATAAGGTTTGTTGCCACTCCACTAGGATTAGGTGCCAATCTGTTGCAGGATAACCCCCTCTCCTTGTGTATGTGTATGTCTCATTTCTCAGACACCTTACTGTTATGGATTCATACCCCTTGGAAGAGAGTGGCAATTATGGGAAAGTGGAATGTTTTGCTGAAGAACAAAGCACAATAGTTATCTTCACCATGGCCATTTTTGGAATCATTTTGGGGTCCAGTTTAAGCTTACTTGAATGAGCTCTTTTCCTCCCACAAGATATCCAGCGGGATGAAAAAAGCTTTTAATTAATGGTCATATATGTCTGAAATGAGATGCTTATCAGAGACAGTAAACCTCTAAATCTCAGTCTTAGCATAAGTTCTTTTTTGCTTTCTGTAGTACTGCTGTTCCACCATGCTTCTTTCTCTCAACAATCCTTGGAGGAGCAAGTCTGGTATTTACAAGCTTGATTTATCTGCGAGCAGCAATATCGGGAGAGACATGGAAGCCTTGCCTCCCAGAAGAGAAGGGATCCCAAACTGTGCAGCAAAGTGAACCACCAAAGCAACCACCTCCTAGAGGACCACGGTCTCAAAGTCTCGACAATCTGGCAATGGAGCCTGATGTGGATGGAAATCCCAACAGAGTGTAATTAAAATAATTTAATCAGAATAGCTTTATAGCAAACAATCACTTAATCAATTAGGCACCAAGGGCATTACAGTAACTTCTTTTTTTCTCCATAAGCAATGACATTTACCAGAATTGCTTAATCCCTTCACTCCCAGGCATGATCAGCCTACAAACTCTCCTAAAAGGCATGATCAGCATACAAATTCTCATAACATGAAAACTTGGTGCCTATAACCCCAAAAAATTTTTTTGGCCATATTAAATCTCTCGATTGCACTGAGAAAAATGCCGCAAAAATTTTTGTGTTTGGTTAAAACCGCAATTTTTTATGATTTTTCAAAGTCAGGTTTATTTTTGGAATGACCAAGTGAACCAGAGACTGGGGCTAGTGAGGTCATTCCTGGCCATCAGCAGTGGTGCTCCAATCCAATCTCAGTCAATATTATACGTTCCCACTGAGATGAAACCTTTGCTAAAGCCTGGTCTGGTAAATGTTTCTCACCTTTCTCTTACTTCGCTCACTTTCAGCTGATTTCGTTTCCTAACATTCCACGCATGAACAGTCGGAAAGATGTAAATTCCAAATCCATCTTTTCACAACCTTCATTGCATGGTCTCGCTAGTCAGAGCAGAAAACATGAGTGAATAGTCTTCTCGGAAGTGGTTGGAACACACAGCCGAGTATTTTGTGGGCTTCCAATGTGCACACTTCAATTGCTCAAAGTCAACCCACTTCTTTCTTCTCTTTTTTTTCCTCCGGGTCATCTGCCCTATAAATAGGTATTGGATGAAGTGCTATTCTTTTTTCTTTGTTGGGAGTGTTGCTAGACCCGAAAACAACACACTTATCAGGCGTATCCATCAAGATACTTCATCCAGTCTTTGAAGCAAACTCATTGGAAAACCTGGAATGACGTCACAAACTGTGCTTGACCCAGACCCATCTTGATAATTCCGTGCCTTGGTCGTGTTTTGAAAAAATGCGATTTTCCATGACTTTGAAAGTTCATAAAAAATCACGGTTTTAACCAAAAACAAAAATTTTTGCAGCATTTTGCTCAGTGCAATAGAGAGATTTAATATGGCCAAAAAAGTTTTGGGGGGTTATAGGCCCTTTAAGAAGCACAGTTAACATTTCCAAAATAGAAATGACAAATTATGAAATCATCACAAAACTTCTGAGTTAAGTTCTATTTTCAAGGAGGTTACAAGTTTAAACCCTATGCTTCAAACACAAGCTTGTTCAACTTCAATTTTTTTTAATTGTCTTGACATATGGTAATACCGAACTCTCTGTACATGGAGAGTTGGTTCTTTTGATCTTGGGAGCAAGAAGGTTAATGTAGAAGATGTGTGCTTACTACCAGCTTATTGCACTGTTCAAGGCTATTTATTTGACGGATAGGTTACTTTGTTAAAGCGAGCAGTGGGTCTTTCATGGTGGCATTTAAGGTGCAAAATGCCTGGTATTTAATTATTCATAACTAAGTTAAATGAAATTTGGAAAAAAAAGGACTTTTTTTATGTTATTTTATAAATAATTCTTGTACCAGAGAAAGTCCTAGAATTAGCAAGATATTTTTTTTTTGACTGCTGAGGAGTCCTTAGAAATGATTTAAACAGATTTTTCCTGTTCTTATACATAAGAACCATGACAAAAATCTTCATGGATCATCACTTTTTTATTACTTGCAACTATTTCATTTCATTTTTTCATCCCTCAGTAATCTGACCACTCCATTATTTTCAAGTAACAAGGCTAGATGATCCTTTCTGGAGTGGGGTTCCTCTGTTTGCACTACAGTTTCTTTACATAGCACCCTAAGAAATTAGGACACTTTGACAGTTACTTGTCAAAGCTTCTTGAATAAATACCACCTTACTATGTGTTTCAACAGGCATAGAATAATTTTAGTTTCACCATTTGTATATAGGATGTGCAGAAATTTTGTAACAAAACAGATGTCAGAAGTCATCCCAGGGTTATTTTGTTTTGTTTCTAAACAGAGTGGACCATTTTGGAGATCTGCAATTTTGTAATAGAAGTAAACTTGTATTTTAAAGCTATCTTGTACATTGTGGTTGCAAGATGTCTTTTCAGGGTGTTGATGATTTCCTTCTCGTATGAGTCCATTCCAGATTTTCCCTTAACTCCATTCCTATAGATTTAAAAAGTTAACCAAATCCCATTCTCATCCGTTTCAATCCCATTTTTTCAGTGTTAAGAAAGGCAAATCCTCATGCAAAGGCATAGTTGAAACAAACAAAAAAAACGGGAAGGGAGGGGCAGAAGAGGGTCCTTGGTTGAAAGTGACCCCCTCGTTGCGAAGAAACTGAGAAGAAATTATTTTCCAATTTTAAAACAATTTGGCATGTCCAGTACTACAAGTGAGGGACAAATGTGTAGGTCTCCCGTACCATTATAATTCCCAGCACCTTTAATATTACCCCCCCAACGTAGATGTTTTTTTTTGTTTTCAATTTTGTTGTGTGTGTTTCATATTTTCACATTTAATTTGTGATGATGTTGGGCATCTTGCAGATCTTGAAGTCTACAATTACATAATAAATGTCACACGATTAGAGAATTGTTTCCACCATGGAAATATTGAAATATTAAAACCTATCTTTATTTACCAGGCTGATTTGATTTGGGAAGATTAAAAAGAAATCCTTGCAATTTTTCCGATCTCTTCCGCACACTTCCGAGTCGAAATATGATAAAGGCATATTAACTTATAAATCAATTTTTAACGAAATATTGTTTCATCTAGATTTACTCTGTGATCGTCGATTTACTCTGTTATGGTCGATTACGTTAAACAGGTTACGAACTGCTCTTATCCAACGTACATCCGAAAAATGGAAAAAACAAACTTGACCTACGGGCAGGTCAACGGTAGACAATTTAAGTTTCTATATTTACCGATATGTCACGCATGTTTACAACGCCATAGCGTACTGAGGTCACCCATGTGATTTCAAAAAGTTTCGCTTTCTTTGTAAAAAATTTTGATTGTTGTCGGAAGGCGACCAAAAGCGAAGTAACAGTTAAGGCAGTCAAATTCGTTTGGAGAGGAAGTCTTTTCTGTGAATTTATTTGGATCTGAATGGTTTGAAACTAGCTAAAGGTCGTTTCACGAACTAACAAGATTAGTGGAAAGTGTCGCGTGACTGAGGTTTGGCAGCGGAACTTTGAGCGGATGAATTAAAACTGTAAGGTATGGTTTACAGGAATCGCAGTCTTTTTAATTTACTTAGTGACTAACTACAAACAGCTAATCTTGATTGTTTTAATTTAATTCCATTTCGAACCATATTGGTGGAAGCTAGGTGAATCAAAGCGCGATTTTGTTTACGCTTTTAATAACTGAAACATCTCTGTAAGCCTAGTACCTTACAAGTTATATTCTCACCAATAATAGATTTGTCAGTTTAAGCACATTTTTAAATCAACGCGAATCCTGTTTTACAACGAAAATGCCAAAAATAGTGTTCTGTAGCTGTGGTAATTTAGTGAAGTCCAGAAGAGGTTATATGACCCTTCAATGATGCATAAACATGGGCAAAAAGCTAACTTTTCCGCTCTAAACGAATCGTAGAGAAACCATTTCCCGAAGAAAGGTAAGTTGTTATCAAGAAAGTGGAATATTCACACGAAAGGAACTTGATTTTGCATCAGACCTCTAAAAAAGTAATTATCGTCAATGATGGTAATAGTAATAAACATAGGTTATAAGGACTTCAAAATATTTACGGCGGAAGGTTTTTTGAAAAGCTAGCGTATTATGTATTCCAACAATGTTTCCAATGTTTCTGAGAGAAAACCGTGCGTGAGCAGGATAAAAAACGAGAGGATTGTGCTGTTGTGGGTAAGGGGGAAGTAAAATGACAGTTTCAACTGATAAAAGTTTCAGTTTCAGTTTCCGGACCCAGGTAAATCGTTGAATTCTGACAGGTCTGAGAGGCTTCATGAATATAGAGAGAAAAACAAACATTGAATGTCGAGAGTATTCAGAGACGAAAAAAATTTACGGAAATAAGTAAAGAAGTGGTTAGAAACGTATGCATGTGACATTCAAGCATTTTAAAGGTTTCTTGGACTATCTCATTGGTGTGGAGCACTTTTCGTTTCGTATTCATCCGTTGCCGGAATCGCTTTGCAGAGTGATGGAGAGGGCTGGGATGGGGAAGT